TTTGAGGCAAGGGAAATAGAAAGGGGGAACCCACAAACGAGCCCTCCGGAAGGGCCCTTTTCGGGCCGCTATACCACTTTTGGGCCATTGGCCATGGGGAGAAGAGAAAGGGGATTGAAAGGGTGGGTTTAAGAACAGCGCTCTTTTCATTCGTGCTGCAGCTAGGAGAATCTCTAAAGGAACAGGGCTTGTTAAAAAAGGAGAGACTGCATAAAATGTGGCTAGCGCATGGCGTAAATGTGTACGGAGTAGTGCAACGTACTCAACTTTGACAGCGACTTTCAGGAACCGTAGTGCGCGAAAACAATATAAAAAATGGTAAACTGTAATTAGCGCATAGCGTAAATGTGTGCCGAATAGTACAACGTAATCGTAGAAAATCCATAGCTTGGCGTTGCTTGTCCCTTTAAAAAATGACCCACTGACCTCGGGGTTTGATGTGATACTGGCCACATAGACGCGCAGGTGGACGTCAGCCGGCGTTAGGGCCGACATCACCATCCCCTGAAAAATAAGAAACAAAATAATTTAGTTAATAAAAACGGTAAGATAAAAATAATAAGTTAAAGAAGGCCCAGGATGTGATGGAAAATGGGGAAGTCAACAACTACGAGACGAGGCACTTATCACTCTGCGGGACCCCACAGAATTCTACTCGAAAAGCAGGGAGGTGCAAAAACAATCAGCAAGTGACCGACGCCGGGGTGTTCGGGGTGGCTTATCGGCTGTTTGGGACCGGATCAATGGAATGGCCGAGGCTTTGAAGAGGGCCTGTTTGCTAAACGGCCATTCGCACCTTCAAGACGGTCAATGGCAGATGAGGATACCGTCTGGGCCCGATAGCATAATATGGGAAATTGGTCACTTTTTAAGGAAAACTACGCGATTTCGGGAAAAAAGTAACATCTATTTTACTAAACGAAAAAGGGAGTTGTTTAGTAGTTCAACTCACCACTTTCTTCTAACCCTCTGAAAAGAAATATTTAACATGTAAAAACTATACAAGCTTTCGAATGAGAATCCAAGAAGTTTTTTCAGTAGTAAAGAGTGACGGCGACCCGAAAAAAATTCTAGTTTACACATTTTAATCGACTATATTAAACGTCTCCTCGACTACGACTTTCCAGCTTCGAAAAACTATAAAATCTCAAAAAATCGCCTAGTTTTTGTTTTTCTGATTTTCTAAACTAAAAAGTTACCTTGTTCGGCCTTTTAGTTTTTTTATATTGTGTTTGGATCGGCTTGAAACTCTTAAGCTGCGAAAAGGTCTATTTGACCTTATAGAATCAGAAAAGCTAGAATATGATCGTCTACATCCTACTATATATAAAAAAATAGTGTCTGTGTGTGTATGACACTTTGCTGCAACTTCCGTCACTGTCCGGAGGATATCTCAAGAAGGGAAGGGATGAAGGGGGTATGATACGTCATTAGACGCGTATGGCCTGTAGATGACTGCACGCATATCAGATTTTTCAAAATAGTTTGTTTTCGACATTAAAATTAAGTTTTTCCTTAAAAATCGGACGTCCTCTTTGTTAGGAGAAAATTAGCATACGCCGGAAATGAGAGTAGCCTATATAATCGGGGAGAGGACGCGATTTTCATTTTTTGACATAACAGTGCGGAAGGATTATGCAAAGCGAGGGATATCATAGGGTTGGCCGGGGCCAGGGTTGAAAAGTCGCGAAGCGGCTTTCACCCTGGCGGTTTTACAACGGAAGTTTTTAGTTGAGGTTTTAACAATTTAGAAAATCAATTTTCGAGTTGCTTGTAAACCCCTGAAAACGATTTAATCTCCCTGTAAAAACTGATCATGTAAATTGTAGGCTGGCAAACTCCCCTAAAAGCCCTAGAAAACCCGTAAAAATACAAAAACGTAACCCCTGGAAAACCCCCAGCCAATATCGATCCAACATTAATCATTAAAAAAACGAGCCCGAGCCTGGGACTCAAACTGGAAAGGCGAGAGAGAGGCTGTTGGTCAATAGAAAAGAGAGAGAAGTCTGTTGAAGGGGGAATACACAACTGGCGAGGAGACACATCCACCACCCTCAGTCCCCCCTCCCAAGAGCAGAGCATGAGGCTCCACCCGCCCCCGAAAAGCCCCCAGGGCATTTCGCTCGACATCTCTCGCAATCTCTCGCCCGGGCGGGCCCCTCTTTTCTTGAGCGCCAGTTTGGGGAGGAAAAGCCGGCAACGAGGACAGATCGGCAGTAGGAGGGAAGGAGGAGAATGGCCAGGCTGGGGCTCGACGGGGCGATCACAAACGATGTGTGTCCCCCGAGGCTTGTTCCACCAGATAATTGGACATGCGTGGCCAAGGGGGGGGGTGGGCAGGATTTTGAAGGATGCGCGGCGCTGGGGGCTTTAAAATGCATCGAAATGGTTCAACCTAGCGAAACTAAATCTAACATAACAAATGAATGTAAAAGCTATTTGGTGAACGACGCATCGCAAATAGTATAAAATCGGAATGGCTAATAACAAACCAAAACTAAAACTTGTTTTGACAAGCTAAAGGGGGATTTACAGCAGCACCTCGCTGTCAACACGTGCGGCCGCGTTACGTGTTGCGTTTTCGCTAGAGACTCGGCTCTTGGATGCGACACACGACGTGCACGTGTCGCTTGCGAAGCCCTGATGTTATTCACCCACTGGAAAATTTGATCAGCCAATGGGCCTAGTTCGACTACGTGCGACTACAGTGAACACCCTGACAGTGAACACCCTGTTTTCATGCGTGAGTTGCAAAGTAGCGTTTTCAAGATTTCCAATATGGCCTTCTTCGTCCATTAAAAATGATGTTTTATCCACAAGCTTGAAACCCAGTGTAAGCGAGGTCAAGTTTTAGCGCGTCCATTGGTGTACCACGTTGTCTACGTCGGCTACGCGCGGCTCCATTGAACACTCATATATTCTGTCCGCGTTGCACATTAGAGTTTTCACGGCTATGTTATGAACTCCATGATCCCTTGAAAATTAAAGGGTCCGACGCATATCAATCTTACCTGGAAAGAAAATGCCTTGCGCTCCCTGGGCGCCTCCCTGTTGGCTCTTTGTTGTGGGGGGTCGACACATCCGTCGGCCCCTTCTTCATCAACAGGTTGGAAAATCGTGCCACGCATGCAGAAAATCTAGGGTTAGCGCGCCGATTGATGTATCGCGTTGTCTTGGTCGGCTACGCGCGGCTCCCTTGGGCATACATACGTTATACGAGCGCTGCAGATTCGCGTTTTGCAGGCTTACGACCATCGGTATGTATTAAAAATCAGGCTTTATCCCGCTTGGCCACCCCCTTTTCAGCCCCGATTTCCGGAATTTCAGCTTGATTACCCGATGGGCCCCCCTCGCGTTCGATCTGTTCGCTTTGAGGACTGTTTGCCCGTTGTCCTCTTCTCTCCACTCCGAAACACTACAGATAACAGGGGGCCCACACCCCTCTTCTCTTCTTCTATCCACCAACCACGCCCAGATTCCGGGCCGCAACACACCCCGGCTACAAGCTGCCCCCCAAAAAAATTTGCTGCGTGTTCTTCTTCTCTTTCGGCTGTTATCTCTCTTTATCTGTCTCTCTGTAGCTATTTTTAATCCTTTTAATGTAGGACATTACTCTAAAAGTTTTTTGAGTGACTGTGGATAAAGAATACTCATTTTTGCCGGGTCGCCCCCCCCCCCCCCGCCCCCCCCTATTAACGCCCTTCCCCGCCGGGGAAGCCTTTGCGGTTCGTAGGGGGGGAGGGGTTGGGGGGGGGGGGCGCGAAGGGCGTTAGTGCCTTTTGCTTGCCCACCTTGCTGATCAGCTACTTGAAGCTTTTACCGTTAGCTTACAATTATATAAAAACTGCTTTCGAAAACCCTATTTATTAGCCGGTTTATCTGCAAAAGTTTTGTCGAAATCTATTTGTCACGTGGCCGATCCGATCGATTCTTGGCATGGCGCGGCTTCAGATGACTGCTGACTTGTTGATTGCGCCGGAAATCAGGCTTTTGCTGACGGGGTTTTGGAAAATGATAAAGAAAAAAGTTCTTGAAGCGATGGCAATCTAGTTGACTCATATGTTCGTCTTTTTTATTTAGCTGCCTTTTACAGTACTTTTTCTCAGCGTAGTGCTGATAAAAACCCCTGATCTGGCTTAGTGGTTATAAACTTGGCTTTGAATGGGTTTTAGAATTTTGACAAATTGTTTATTGCACTTTCTGTGTACATCCAGTGTTTTTTCAATGAGCATTTGATTTTTTGGCTTTTTTCTTTGTGTAATGAACACTGTACAGACCCTTGTTTTTATTTCATGCTTATAAACGTTCGTATATTTAAATATATTTAAATTCCAGACCCATGATAGATGCTTATTCTGCGTTTTCTGGGGGTGATTTTCGCGTTTTTGCATAAAAAACCTCTTTTTTTTACTCAGATCCATTTTAAAAAGTGATGTCCGCTCGCCCGCTAGTTCAACCGCAAACATCCCCATATCAGGCTTCTTCTATAACAAGCTTATACGCCCTTCCCCCACCGGATTATGACAACAGCCCACCCAATTTCACGTCTTCCAGAAGATGACCGCCCGATCTGGGGGTCTTTTCCCTTTGTGGGGGGTCGAAATGCTGGCCAATCATGGCGCCCGCACGCCACCCCCGGCCAACGCCCTTCCCGTCTTCCCCTCTGGCCGCTACGGAAATACGCGAATTCTCATCTTATCACACCGCAGCGCATAGAGCCGCTTTGTGCCGTTGAAAAAAAGGGCGACCGCGTCGGGAAGGGGTCCAAAAAGGGTACGGTAACATGAGAGGCCAAATAACCTGCCAGAAGGGCTCTTCTTTCTGTTCTGCGAATTACGCGGCTTCAACACGGCCAGCTTCAGACCACCTTTTCGAATGTCTAATTTTCGAATTAAAATTTAGTAATTTCTTTTCTGGCTTTACAAATTGTTGGTTTCTGTAAAAAAACTTTCCTTCTTTTAGGAGCATCACCGAGCCGTACCCGAATTGCAAGTTTTTTTATGGAAGTAGAGGTGTGCCTGGCCGTCGTCCTACCGGCCACCCCGCTCGCAAATTCTCAGATCGTGCTCGTCGACCAGCAGCCCTCCACCAGCCAGCAGTACTACGGTAAGGGGAGCGCTTTTTAGGATTCATTGACATTCTCGTTTTGATATTATTTAGTGTTCACTCCAAGCACTCTCATTTTCAGAAAAACCCGCGCTATGTCTCCCGAAAATGAACGTGAATGTGGGTGAGGGATGCGTGACGGATGCGGTGTGTAGAAGGCTCAAAAAGTAACTTGTTAAAAAATTTAAAAACTAAACAATTCTTCAGGTACCGTATCCGGCGTGCCATCGAGATCCCTTTGTGGCGGCACGAGCGTGACGAGAAGGGGCTTCAGCGCAGCCGAGCGATTCGGTTGACATCATTGATCTGTTTGCCCGTTGCGAAATATGGTGGGTGTTTTTGGTTTAACGATATATTAACTTACCTGGGTTTCTCCTATCAAAAAGCTGATCAAGCTCTTTATTTTCCAGATGAAATCGAGATATTTGGAGGCCGCATGGAGCGTTTGGGCCCGCTGGTCGAACTTTGTAAGCAGAACAGCCCGCGGATAGAACGCGAAACGGCACTTCAACTTAGGAGAATTGACGAGTAAGTTTTAAACGTATTTTTTCTTTAATATTACTGTAGATGGATATCTGGCTTAACGATTCCTGCACTCCTGCTGGCTCGGCCTGCCGAGGAGCGCATCTCCCTCTGCGCGCACAACCCGTCGATTGGCCCGCCGGATACGTGGAATTGCTTGTGGGTTTTGCTCATAAAATTTGTTTTAGTTTTATCTAGATCTTTTATGATTTATTTTGTATTTTTACTGATTATTTTTAGGCACAAGCCTGGCGGACAACAAAAGGGACACCCAGCAACGAGCGATATTGATCAACAAGTTGTCCGTGGGAACAGCGCTCGGCTACGGATGGTGAAGTACGACAAATACGACTCGTTCGTCATGAATCCGCTCTTCGGAACCGGGCTCCAGCAACGGTTGCTACAGGATGAGGTGGTTTCTAAAACGATTTACAAAATTTAACGCTTATTTATTTGTCATTTTTACCATATTCAGCTCTCCTACCGTCCTGTGGCCTCGTACGTACGCGAGGGACGAAATTCCACAGCCTCTCAATCGACCCCGTCCCCGCCGCGAAGCGCTGAGGATTGGGCTTCTCGATACCCGCTACACCGGGCGGCATACCAAGGCGATGCCCAATTGATACGGTATCTTTTTCGCGTATTTTTGTAAGTAATGTTTTTAGGAACCTGATGGCCCGGGGTCAAGACCCGAACGAGGTGGATCGAGACTCGTGGACCCCGCTCCACTATGCCGCTTTTTACGGGAAACTGGATGCGATTCGAGCACTCGTTCAGGGAGCAGATATTAACGTGAGTTGCTTATTTATAAAACAAATTAAAATTAAAACGATTTCAACAAAAATGAGAAACCTGGATTTTTGGCAAAATGCCAATTTTGGAAAAATGTTTTTCTGACTCCTTAGTCACGAAAAAACTACGAAAAACACTAGAATATACACTACAAGCTCCCAAAATTTTTGCAACGTGCTAGATAGCCCCTCCCCCGATAAAAGCCCGGTACCAAGATGAGTTTCAGGTGAACGCCCAGAATAAGGGTGGCGCGACGGCGTTGCACTTGGCTGCTCTGAACGCACACGCGTATGCCGTCGAGCTGATGCTCAGCCATCCGGGAATTGATCTCGTGAGTTATTCCTTTTAATTTATCGTATTTCTTCCCGAGAATATGGTTTTTCTTGAATTCAGAATATCACAAACAAGAACGGTGACCGGGCTGCCGATCTGTGTCGCCAGGTTCACCGTAAGGAATGGCAAGAGGTGGCCAAATTACTCGGCAGAGGAGAACGCCCTAAGAAGCAAAAGGTTGTTTGATAACTTTTCATTTCATTACAGCTTTTCAAGGTCGACTTTCTCGATATGTCAAATTTGATGATCGAACTGGTAAAGGGCAGCGAGACAACGGCCGAAGATGTGAGTATCAGAGAAGAGCTTAAAAATGAAATTATGCAAAATCGGTGCCTGCGCATTATCGGGGGAGGCTTATCCTGAAATCCGATTTTTCTATTTTTTTACAGGGTGTATCAAAAAAAAGTGCCCAAGTTTGTCCCCAATTATCTCGAGAAGGAAAGATATTTCACCGTGCGTTACCATGCCAAAATGCTTAAATATGTCAGGAATAGGGAAATAACTCAACTTGATTTTTTCGATTTTTGAGTACGCAACTGTACTATTGACGGTGGTTACGACCGAAAATTGTGCGTTCTTGAATGGGTGGTGGGAAAATTCTGATTTTTGGCCCAAAAATCGTTGGCATTTGTAAAAAGGTAATGGCCAAATCTTAGAATTTTTCAAGCTCAGGTTTTTGTTTTACAAGCAATACAAATTTCCCTATTTTGCTTATTTTTACTTTTTAAATCGCAACTCGCTTCAAATACGCAGCCCATGGCTGTCTTTTGCAGATGGTGTCTCGAATGATAATCTTTAGCGCAAACCAATTTTACCTGATTCTATGGTATTTTTCTATTGCTTGCTAAAACGTGCCCCAGAGGGATACTGTAGGTTTCGTTTTTCACATTTATCTCTTGACCCTAAGCTACGATCTCGCTAAAAATTTTATCATTGCTTAACAATGGTAAGGGGCACCCATTGGCCAAATATCGCCGCATTCTATCCACACACTTTCTTAAAATATGGTAAAAACGGATTTTTGAATTCTGCCACGGAAATTCCTCAATATTTTAATGGATCGGACCAAAAGCTGCTATTATTTGTTTTCTGAAAAGTTTGAAACGATTCTATGGTGAAAAGATCACGAAAACGGCGTTTTTCTGTTTTCTACAGTAACCCGCCTGGAGCGCATTTTAGCATGCCAAGACAAAATACCATAAAGTGATCATTTTTCGATTGTAGACTGTTCTCCGGGTTACTGTAAGCGCGTCGGCAAAAAATCACGTATTTCCGGTCGTAAATGCCAAAGTTATCAGGGAAAGAGGAAAACCCTCCTCGGGGCCCCATTTTGGATCTCAGCCCCGGGTCAAAAAAAACGAATTTTTGAAAATTAAAAAAGCACCGGGGTTTGGTGGATAAAATTACAGCACGTATCGAAATGTGCATGAGAGTGGAATTTTAGACTGATCAGTTAGAAGTTCATGGTTAATTTTGGCTTAAAGCCAAAAATGACGTTTTGTGAAAACCTGACTTCGGTGGGCTTTTCTAAATTCGCTTGCCATAGAAAAGTTTTTTCTTTGCATGGTTTTTAATTGACTACTCATGCCTGGTTTATGCTAAAAATTTCACGTTTACTAGCGCATTGAGAATTTTTTTACATAGCCTCGAATTCGGGTATATTTGGGCTTTTCATGAATTTCTTTCGAGATAGCGCATGGCTCAATAAATTCGTCAATATACTATTTGAATGCGCCAACTAGATAGTATCAAACAAAAATGTGGCGAGAATTTGGCGGCACAATTCAATTTTATAGAAAGGAAGTAAGGTTTGCAAAATAGCACGAACCAACCGTTTTGGGGGCCCTAAAAGGCGCCCTTCCGAGGGGGTACGGTAGCTCAAATTCTTGCAGATGATAGATAAACCCCAGTCCTACACAACCAAGAAAAGAACTTAGCCGAATTCCATCTGCAACTTTAGAAATATTTTTCTGAAGTTCGTTGCCGTGACCCCAATAAAATCCATGACCCGGGGGTCGTCGAAAAACTCGAAAATTCATAGATCTTAAAAATTTTTAAAATATTTTTATGCGATTGTGTCGAGCCCGTAGATCTTCTGAAACCACTTATCTTGACATTTCCACCACAGGTTTTTGTAATACACGAAATTCGCGAAATTTTTCCATACAAAATTTCAGTGGTGCATAACTTGTGAACCAGACCCTGAAAAAATCTGAGATTTTTTCGGTGCACATCTGTTGCTTAGATTAACCTACCTTGTAAACATTAGAAGCCAGCCACCACACGAAATTGAGAAAAATGCAATTGAAATTTTCCCGAACGCACAGTTTTCGGGTGTCATTTGTATTGATACGTCGCCAAAAATCGAAAAAATCAAGTTGAGTTATTTCCCTATTCCTGACATATTTAAGCATTCTGGCATGGTAACGCACGGTGAAATATTTTTCCTTCTCGAGATACTTGGGGACAAACTTGGGCACTTTTTTTGATACACCTTGTACTCATCCCTAAACGTAAAAACTTTACAATTTCTTATTAACTAATACAAAAGTATTGATTTTTCGAGTAAAAATGGCCGATTTTCGTCAAAGTTTTTACATTTTTTTTGCAGAAGTTCTTCACCATTGAACCAAACAGAGAAAATTTAGCTTCTCGACGCCGTGTTCAAAGAATATGGGTTCGATGAATCGTGTCGACCGGTGTTTGCCCTCTGGCTGGTCTCCGACGAGCTTTGTAGGTATTTTTGGACATTCATCTTGGTAATAAATATGGTTATACCTCCATACTTTCAGCCCTTCAACTCAAGAAAGAGCACAAGGTTCTGCACCATATGGCTCCAAAGAAATGGGCAAATTCTGTAAGGAATTCTATGGCAAAAGTGAAAATATTTGTTTAGGTGGAGCGCTGGGGAACGCCGCTGGAAGGGAGAGACGCGCGAAAGCCCAGCAAACCGCGGCTCGTCTTCCGTCATAATGCTCATTGCCCATTAGCCGAGGAGAAAAAGGTCTGAAAAATATGGTTTATTTATGCGATTTATTTTTTAAATAATAAATACGCTTTTTATACATTTATTTTAAACTTTTTCACTTAGCGTTTTTCCAGGCAGGATTCAACGACAAGGCCCTATATTTGCTGTACGAGGAGGCGCGCGGGCTTTTCCTGCGCGGCTTCTACCCATGCGATGCTCAGGATGCCATCACCCTGGCCGCCATCTCGTTGGCGATCATCTACGGTCCAAAACATACTGTCAGGTGGGCGGCGTGCGCTTTTTAAAAGTCACTGTATAAAAAAGTAAAAAATACTTTATATAAATTTCTTTTTAGCGCGCCTAACCTGAAGGTAGTGATGCCGCCGCACTTGGCCAATAAGGAACCCAAACGCACGTTGATGAACATTGCCAAGGAATACGAAGTTAGTTTTTTAATAGTATATAAAAATATGTAGTAGGTATGTAAAATTAAGTTTTAGACGCTGCAAAATCAGAACCTTCTGTCCCTGCAGCTGACGTTCCTCCACACCTGCTGGGGTTTCGGCGCCTACGGAGCTCACTTTTTTGATGCCCAGCTGTACCTTACCAAGGTTGGAATTTATGCCTTTTTCCCGGTCCTGGCTCATTAGCGGGGCGAGGGGTTCGTTACCTTTTTTGATTGTTTTTGGTAGTTGCCCAAGATCTTAACATTTTTCGGTGAAAACGTTCATTTTTAGATTTTTATGAACTTTTTTATAAAATTTTTATTTCCAATTAAAATGGCTTCCATTTCGTCAAGGGCGCCTACAGGAATATATGAAAAAGACCCCCGCTAACGAACCGGTATCTCGTTAATAATTTTGACAGCCTAATTACCGTACCCCCAAATTCAGCCGTTCCAAACGATAATCCCGGTCCGCGTGGGCGTAAACGACGATGGGATCCATGTGATCAACGACGAGACCAAGGCCTTGGTCTTCCGGTTTTCCCTGCAGGTATTTCTTGCTAAAATCTGGAAGAATACCGTAACCATTTTAGCACCTGGTGTGGACACCGCCAGATGATAAGCCGTACATTGACATGCAGAGCCCGAGGATCATGGAATTTCGGATTGCCACGAAACAGGTGGGTGAGCTAGCAGAGATTATTGGCGAATATTAAAATGAATTTTATACAGGGTGCGTCAAAAAAAAAAAGCCAAGTTTGCACCAAAATATCTCGCTTATCTTTGAGAATCGAAGGTACGTTACCATGCCAGAATGCTTAAATATGCTGGGTATGAAGATTTAACACAACTTGATTTTTTCGATTTTTGGCGACGTACCCATACAAATGACACCCGAAAACTGTGCGTTCCGGCCAAACTTCGTTTGCATTTTTTAGGATTGTTGGTGGTCGAACACTTCCAATTTTTACAGTGTAGGTACCTAAGGACTGCCCCTACGCACATCCCGAATTTTAGAATTTTGAAGGTCTGGTTGGCGTTATAGCATGCTCAGTTTAATATGGAGAAATTTCGTAAATTTCGAATATTACAAAACCTATGGCGGAAACCTCAAAATAAGCTCTTTTGGCTGTCTATAGGCTCGATACATCCCGCAAAAATATCAAAAAAAAATTTCAGATCCGCGGATTTTTGAGTTTTGCGACGACCTTTTTCGACGACTGGTCATGGATTTTTTCGAGGTCACGAAACTGAACTTTGGAAAAATATTTCTAAAATTGCAGATAGAATTCCGGTGTTTGCTTTGCTTAGTTGTGTAGGACTGGGGTCCATCTATCATGTAACAATTTCTGCTACCGTACCCCTTCGGAAGGTTGTCTTTTAGCGCCTCCAAAACGGTTGGTACTTGCTATTTCGCAGACCTTGTGCCAGTCTATATTCATTTGCGCGGTTAGAAATATTGTCGTAATTTTATTTAATACTACTTAATAGGCGCATTCTAAAATTATATCTACAAATTTTTGGGCCATCCGATCTTTCAAAAATTCATGAAAGTCCAAATATACCCGAACTCGAGGCGCCGGAAAATTTCTCGGGCTTGAGTAGCCTCAACTTTTTGGCATAAACTCGCTTGGGTGTCAACTAGAACCCATGCAATACATCTGTTCTTGGCAAACGAATTTAGAAGAGCTCCCCAAAGTCGGCTTTTCAAACGTTATTTTCGAGTTTTAAATCAAAATCAACCATTAACTTCAGCCAGTCATTCCAGAATTCTGCTTTCATACACTTTTCGATGCGTAATTTAATTGTATCCACCAACCCCGGTGCCTTTTCATTTTCAAAATTCGATTTTCGAGCCAGGGCGTCGGGTCCAAAATCGGGCCCCAGGGTGGGTTTTCCTCTTTCCCTGATAACTTTGTCATTTGCCACAGGAATCAAGTATTTTTGTAGGTGCTCTTACAATCACCCAGAGAACACTATGAATAGAAAATTGGCATTTTTGGCATTTTGTCTTGGCATGCTAAACGCGCTCCAGGCGGGTTACTGTAGAAAACAGAAAATCGCGGTTTTCTCGTTCTTTTCACCATAGAACGTTTCGATCTTTCAGGAACAAATAATAGTAGTTTTTAGTCCGATGCATCAAAATATTTAGAAATTTCCGTGGCTAAATTCAAAATAGTTTTTTGCATATTTTGGGAAGGTGTATGGCTAGAACTTTGCGAAATTTAGCCAATAGGTGACCCTTACTGATGTTTACCAATGATAAAATTTTAAGCGAAATCGCAGCTTACAATAAAAGAAAAACGCGAAAACAAAACTACAGTTCCCTCTGGGGCACGTTTTAGCAGCAATATTAAATACCTGATCAGGTAAAAGTTGGTGTCGTGCTAAGGTTATCATTCGGAGATACTATTTGCAAAAGATCAGCCATGGGCAGCCAATTTGAAGCGGTTGCGAATTAAAGTAATAAGCAAATGGGAAATTTGTTTTGCCTGTAAAAAGAACTAACCTTCAAAATTCTAAGACTTTGCTTTATTTTCTACAATGTCACTATTTATGGCCAAAATCAGAATTTCCCCACCACCCGTTCAAGACGCACAATTTTCGGTCGTAACCAGCGTCAATAGTACAGTTGCGTACTCGAAAATCGAAAAAATCAAGTTGTGTTAAATCTTCATACCCAGCATATTTAAGCATTCTGGCATGGTAACGTACCTTCGATTCTCAAAGATAAGCGAGATATTTTGGTGCAAACTTGGCTTTTTTTTTTGACGCACCCTGTACATATATTCCAATATTCTTAAATGGCCTATTTAAATTATAATTTCTAGATTTTTCAATGAAAGAATAACTAAAATTCCATACCTCTAGGCGGCCCATATCCACCAGCTACTCTCGACGCTTTGCGGTAAGCCGATGACCACATCCTCCCCACCATCCAGCGCCTCCATTTCCGCACGATAATAATGCATTTTTCAATATATAAATATTTTTATTCAATTTGAGCACATAAATATACACGCGAGTAAATCGAATTACTTCTGAAGACTGGGGGAGAAGCCAATGCGCTGACGGCCATAGTCGAATGTGTGGCAGTACTGTAAGGGGGGTTTTGTATTAGTGGTTTTAAATTTTGTTAATATTACTGTATTTAATCACAATTAATTTCCTCTTATTACTTACCTGTCTGATGAAGGGGTCTCCGAGGATCCATTGCGGCGGGATGAACAGCGAGTCGAATGGGAACAGGGCCAGCCAGCAGTTTCCGGGTTGATCCGACGGCACGATCATGTTATTCCTGCAGTTTTACGGTTATAAAGTTTTAATAAAATAAATAATTTGATAAAGCCACTTAAAATTCACGAAGAAACGATTGTAGCGAAAGTTTCAAAAATTTTAGAATGCATTAGGTGAACATGTACAGAGGAGCGCCGCGTTGTCAAGGCCTGACTACAAGACGCTACACTTTACCCTCATCTGCGCCAATCTAAATTTTCTTCTAAAACCTGTAAGAAGCTTTTCCAACCAACTTTTGAATGTTGTAGACGATTCCGCCGATGGTGACGGCAAACGGGCCGAGGTTTGCCTTGCAGTCAATCTCGTAGACCTAAATCAGAGTTTGAAATTATGTCTATTTTCTACTATCAATATTTTGTTATTATTTTAAAGGCCAAGTACCTGATCCTCGTCATTCCAGGTGGCTCCGTAGCCGGCGGCAATCTTGTCGGTGTCGTATTGGGGTCCTCCGATGAACGAGGTGCCGGTGTCTAAGCGATTACGTTAGGAAATCTAGGAAAAATGCCCTTTGAAGTTATTAAAATTAACTAAAAAACTATCATTCCACTTTAAAGGGATGCCGACGGCGTAGTCAATCGGTTACGCGCGGAAAAGAAAATGTCTCTGCGCCTCTCCCCTGGGCGCCTCTCTCCCTGTGGCTACTTGCCAATTTGTTAATGAGGGGGATCGACATATGCCGTCGGCAGCGGCAGTGGGATGGGCGGTGGAATGGCGTCGGCAGTTTAAATTCGCCCTAAAACCAACCGGAAATGGCGTAGAGTCCGAGTTTGGTGTCAAATCCACCAGCCGACACGTAGTCCAGCTTGTATTCCCAGTAGGTGGCAGAGGAGAGGGTCTGTAAAAGTTATTAAATTGATGATGGCCCCATAAATCATATAATTATATACAATCAACGATGCATTAACACATTTTAATTTGCTATTAAAAATATGTACATATTTTTTATTTCCCCCAAAAATCTTTGCTAGCATATAGCTTCCGTTAGAGTAGTTTTTCGGATTTGTTTCGATGCTCTACCCTTTCCTATCTCGAAGCTCGAAAAAGAACAATTAGGGAGTATAACTTTACAACCCAGCCCCTGCGGCTCCGTCACATTCCGCCACGACGATTTCTCCCTGTGGCGACTGACCGGTGACCACGACACTCACCTGATAAGCGATCAGATCGCCGCAGTTTGTCTTATCCAAGTCGCCGTACGTGAACACACCACCGTATACTCCCTCTGAAAAAGGGGATTTAGTTTGGTCGTTCGGGGTAGCGAAAATTGGAAAATGTCGTACGGCTCCGACGGCCACATTTGTGTAAAAGCGTTAACTTTGGCTAAAAGACGCGTTAAACTATGTGAAAATATATTTTAAATTGTAATTTAAAGTATCGATGCATAGTTTAGAGGTAAAAAAGAGTTTTTAGGAGTTAAATATTCATAATTAATGTATAATAAAAACTTTTGATAACTCGCGTACTAACAAACCTCCATCAAACTGGTGCATGAGGAAAACCGTGAAAATCGGGTTGGTGAGCACGCCGAGGTTGATGGCGTTGACGAGTGGGGGCTGAAAAAAAGTTCAAATTGTCTAGATCGCGATCCCTATACCGTAACGTCGTTGACGGAGATGGCGGTGAAGGCGAGGCCGAGAATACCGTCGATCGGATCGTCGGCAAAGAAGTCGGCAATCTAAAGTTTATTTTTTTCTTATAAAGCATATAAAAGTGTGGAAAATGTTTTGTATATTTTAAACTAAAAACTACCTCCTCGGCCTGGCCGAAGGTGGTGGAGGGGACGACGAGCTGCTTGGTGCCCGGTTCACCGAAACTAAAGCAGAACAGTTTTGTAAGCAATTTTCGTGCCCAATTTCATCCTTTTTAACGTTGCTTTCAATTTTATATCTATTAGTTTTCGCTTTGCAAAAGGCAAGAAGGAGGGCAAAATACGAAAAAGGAAACGTATTACGTTCATTATGAAGTCATACGTATTTGAAAAAATATTCTAAATTTTAAAATTTAAAAGTTAGAATAAAAGCTACCGAACAGGAATACCGCTCTCTATCCCGAAATTCTGTATCCCGAGACTCCATCCCGAATCGTTCCCGAAACTCTCTTCCCGAGCTTTTCCCGAACTTCTTCCCGAGCTTTATCCCGACTTTCTTCCCGGCTTTTCCCGAACTCTCTTCCCGAAACTCAGTATTTTGCGTTTCCTAACGCCCTACATCCTTGAAGGCATCGGAAAATCATTTTATCAAATTTCCGAAACTGAAAAATAGCGGAAAACTATTTACTTCAAAGATCTAGTCTGGTGTTCGGTACGTTAAAGCTAGCTAACTTGTTTCGGGATATGGAGTTTCGGGATAGAGAGTTTTCGGGATAAAGAGTTTTCGGGATAGAGAGTTTTCGGGATAGAGAGTTTCGGGATTGGGAGTTTCGGGATACAGAATTTCGGGATACAGAATTTCGGGATAGGGGAAATACCCCACCGAACAGTGTCGATTCCCTGGAATCCGTCAGCCGACCCGGTGCCGTACTCGATCTCCCATGGCCAGCCGTCTTTCTAAATAAAACGTTGAGCTAAAAACTGATAAATTTGCCTTGTAAGTGGTCGATTTGGACTCGTCGAATTTGTTCTTTCCCACGCACGCCCCACGGATCTTGGGCGGCACCTTGCCGGCGGCAACCGGAGATTTGGTGCAGCAGCTCGGATCTTCGCAGACTAGATTGCAGAAGATGCCCATTTCCTGGCAATGTTGGCAGTTGACCGGGCCATCGCAAGATGAATCCGGAACCCACAGGTTCGAGGAGCCGGTGTCGAGGATTACCTAAAAAAGGAAAACTTATAGTAGAAAAAAGTGTGTTTTCCTGCTGGTTTCCATAGTTTTTAATTCATGATTCTTGCTTTTGCATAATTTATCTCTTATCTAATTATCTTTAGAGGTAAAATCCTTTACAAGTTTCTAAAGGGTCAACGAGCTTTTTAAGTTTCTAAAGATTTTTAGCGTTTTAGTGTATAATTTTCAAAACTGCAGATTTCAAAAAGTTTATCGAGCTTTTGCCGCAGTATAAAAGCATTTTCTACTGATTTTTAGCGTTCTTGATGTATTTTTAAATCTAGAGGTCGTAAATAGAAGTTTGTAAAAATCTATAAAGAGTTTTTCAAAAATTTTTAGATATGGGCAAAAGCCAGGGTTTCCAAGTCTGAATATTGCCTCCACAAGGTTTTCTACCCTCCAGAATTTGCAAACAATAGCTTTACAAGATATACTAACCCTGAAGGGCTGCTCGGGCGTTCCGATGGTGATATTTCCGAGATATTCCTCGTCATCCCAATCGTACACCTTCTGCGGGTACCCATCACGACGATGCGGTCGCAGGGCACGCATCACCGCCCGCTTCTGCAGATGCGCTCGCCAGGTACTGAAGAACGGAAAATAGTTTTAAAAAGCTGCAGCTTACCCAGCCCTCATCATGCGCCGCCTTCGGGACTCGATCTTGATCAGCTTGTGCTGATACACCTCCGCCAGGGCGAAGGTGGCCAAGACGGCCAGCAGGAGAAGCAACAGCGGCTTCATCTAAAATTTGGTTTATGGAAGGTTAATGGTTAAAGAAAGAAACCAACGTAACGTAAAGTAAAGCAATACGTTCTTCTATCCTCAACTCAATGTTTTGACAGTTTAAATCCACGCCATCTAAAAGTTAATAATAAAAGCAAGAAAGTAACGTAAGATCAAGTAAAATAGTCCTTCTTTGGGTGTTTCTATAGTTAAATGGTTGTTTCTAAGCTATAATACCTATCATAACGTAAAGATACAAAATAAAAGAATTTTTTTGTAGGAGATGTTCCAATTAAATAAATATTTTCCAAGTTTTAAACTCGTAAAGTTAACGATAACGAAAGGAAGTCATTAACACAAATAAATGTACCACTTTTGTATGTTTTTCTATAGCTAAATGAATGTTTCTATAGTTGAAACTCTAGGCTAACAAAATAAATGGATACAGCGCTCGAATCTAGAGGTTTCTGGAAGTGCGTTGCTGCTTTTCGACCAATGCCCTGTGCTCGGCTTCAGCTCGCTGATATACACCGGTCACGGGCTGTGCAATCCCCGCGATATGATGGGCACGTTTACAATCGGATTTGCCATCCTGGATACCTGCTGATAATTTATCAGCACTTCGGCTTCTTTGCCGGGGTGCAGGCGGCAGAGGCCGATTTTTCCGCTTTTTACAGCCGACCGGGGCCACCGTAAAGTTCGGGAGAGCGATATGTCGATAAAAACAAATATGAAAACGGGCTATGGCCGCTGTATTGCTAGGAGGGTTAAACGGATCGTCACGTACTTGCTAGAAAGATAATAAAATGTGAAAAGGTAGAGAGAGAGCATAGAGCAATCGTGTAAGGTGTAGTGCCGTGTAGCCCTTTAGAAAACGCGACGCTCCAATGCACATTTTGCCTATGCCATCTCGATGTTAAAGGGATGGTCAGGCACGTCCCAAAATGAATAAAACAAGCGGAAAATGTAACTGGCGCACAGAGTAAAGCCGTAAACTGAAGCGCAGCGTACTCGTTTTTCGCAAAACGCGGCGCTCCAATACACATTTTGACTCATTGCCCTTCCCAAATTGGGCAATTCACGATCATTTTTGCAATTTCTGTCCTAAAAACTGTATTTTTTTCTCGTTTTTAAGTTGCTATTTAGGGTTTGCAAAAAGTTCTATATTTTTTCTCTAAAAATACAAACGATATTTATTCGCAATATATTGCAAAGTACAGGCCAAAACCGGGCAACGCAAAATTTAATACCATAATTGGAGATTTTTAGATGGATGTTGGGGCCAAGATGAAAAGCAAAAACGCTTGAAAGGTGGTGCATTATCACAAAACGACATAAGTACAAGAGAATTCGGGGGTGTGGCAGTCGGCAAAAGGGGAAGAGGTAAGCAGAGATGCTCTATATTATGCTCTGTCGATTCGCGGGGATCAATCCAGAGGGAAAAGCGGGCTTCCGCTCCACGATTTTTTAATTTAGAAAAATTATAAAATCGTCTAGAACCGGTACGGGGGCTACATCGGGAAAAGTGCTCGGCCACTACACGCGCGGGTGCTTAATGAAAGTTTTTAAATATTGTAGTTTTGTATATTTTTATATCATTAATGTGCAAAGAGGAGCGAGAAGGCGGTGAGCATCAACATATGAAGGCATAATTTGTGGACTGGTTGACAATGAGTCGAGAACGCCATCTCTATTCCTCGGCTGGCTCGTATTGGTTCCTGAAAATTTGGGGATTCCGCCTATTTTCCCTGATCTTTTTGCTTTATTGATTGTGATTTCCGTAAATCGGTTTTCACTTACAGTAGCTGCTCGCGGCGTTTACGCCGGAATTCACAGATGAAAATCGAGGCCAGGAGGAGAAGGATGATGACGATGATGGCGATCAGTGGAACAACCCACGCAAATTCACCTGGAATGCGTTTTTATAATTCTATATTTACATTATTATTTGTTACTTATATTATTGTAAATGATGATATAAGAGTTGATTTTTAGAAAAGATAAAAATTTTATCTACTATATTTTAGTCCTGGTAATGCAATGGAAATTTCTTAAAGATGTTTTAGTAAAATTTTAGCCTATTTTTAAGTGGAAAAGCTATCAAGAAATCTTGGGAAAGGTATAAAAAATCAAAGAATATAAAAAAGGTCAATAAAAATAAGAAATAAAAACTGGCAAACAAATATTTTATATTTCTATTATTTTATAATTTCTGATGTTTAGCATAGTAAAAAGTGTAGAAATACTCAGACATGGCAATCGGCCGGGCCGCGCGGCTTTTTCGGCCGCAAAAATTAGAATGCGGCCGGGCCGCGCGGCTTGGCCGCACTTCCGGCGCGGCCGCGGCTTTTTTCCGTTTTGAGGCCGCGCGGCGGCCAAGCCGCGCGGCTTTTGAGGCCGCATCCAAATGAGTTTTGAGTACTTCCGGCACGTAAATCAGAGATGCAATGCGTATTTAGCCTGCTAGCGAGGAATATCCATACTCGACAACCTTAATTTTCTCATTTCCATTCCGATTTGGCATGAAATTCGCGGTTTCTCGATATGTCAATGAGCCACTTCCGGTTTGCGGCTTGGCCGCGGCGGCCCGGCCGAGCCGCGATGAAAATGCGGCTCGGCCGCGAAGCCGCATTTCCGGAAGTAACTAATTACTGCGGCTCGTAGGGGGCCGCGTTTTTTATGGAAATTAGGCCGCCGGCCCGGCCGCGCGGCTCGGCCGATCGGAATTGCCATGTCTGGAAATACTCGCTTTAATTTGGTTAGGACCCGCGATAGTGTTAAAGTATAAAAAGTGTTTAAACCCTGAAACTCAAGACCATAAACAAAAAATAGATCTAAATAAGACAAAACCTCTAATAGAAATCTGTTCTTCATCTTCTCTGTACTCCCGCGAATCCATTTTTACGTTTAAAAAAGGAATACATTTTAGCCAGGTAGCACGCTTGCAGCAACGGCCTATTGTGGAAATTTGACCGCCCAAAACAGAGAAGCCCCCGGTTGGTTTGACGTCAATTTGGGATTATAATCGGCAGCACAGCACGCGGGTACCAACCTTTCACTTTGACTTGCTTTTCGACGATCAGCAATGAACTGACGACCACGCTGCCCGCCTGAAAATCATTGAAATCAGTTTGCCGCAAAGAGGAGGTTCTGGGCTGTTAGCGGGGGGGGGAGGGGGGTAAATTTTAGCGGCCATTGAGATATGCTGAAATCTGAAATTCTGAAACGTCTTAATTCGGAAAATTTGGCTTCTAAAACGGGATTCATCGACCCGGTACTGGTCTGTTAGCGGGGGGGGGGGTAACTTTGGCCTCTCACCATAGAAAGCTAACTAAAAAAACTAAAATGGCGAAAATGGTTGACTTCTGACCGCAAGTTAAAAATTTTTAGTTTTTAAAGCCTAAAGATTTTTTAGCTATTAACAACTATTAGAAACTATGGAAATACACGATCAACTTAATAAATTACTAAATAAAGATTTTATTTTAGTAATAAAACGATAAAAATACACCATATAGCGCTGAAAAAGCTGCCAGCCTATTCCCGAAAAAGTCTGATTTTTCCTCAAAAATTTCACATTCTTGAAAGATATTTATAGCCGAGATAGCTCTCCCACCCCCGCTAACAGCCAAGTACCAAACAGCCTCCTTACCCTGAATTCATTTTTCGCTTGGCAAGAATAAACTCCAGCATTCGCCTCTGTCGCGTCCTTGATCACCACCGTCGTCCCGTTGTTGGCAAAGGTGGCCGAGCGGGTAGCTGAAGAAGGTAGATCACCAATTAAAAGCGACTCACTCAACATTTGCCCATCTTTAAGCCATATAATATTGGGCGTAGGGTGTCCGATAGCCGGACAAGTGACGTTCAAGGATGCATGCAGCGGGATGCCGACCGTTGCTCCCTAAAATGCAATTATTTCCATATTACGGTAACCGAAACGGACCCGCAAGTGATTTTCCTTGTCGTCAATCAACGAGTACGTCTCGGTGCCGTGCGGATGTGCGACCGGGCGGGCTGAAAAAAATTATTTTTACCTGGTGAAGGGAGCCAAAAGTACCGGGGCTCGTCAGTCACGAGTACGCAGCACTACTCCGTACACTTTATTGTATTTGTAATTAGACTTATCTTTTGCATTTATTGTATTTCGCTCTATCATTTATTCCGTTTTCAACATTCGACTCTTTTTTGTCCACGGAACTGTCGCTTTAGGAGGCACGACGACGCCAATTTTTTTCCTAGCATCCAATTTTTAAATAAATAGCGGAAGAGTTTCTGAGCTGCTTTTACTATTCCCAAACGTAAAAATTGTAAAAATTTTTAAAAACAAAAAATATATTTTCGACGAAAAATAGCCGTTTTTGCGCAAAATTTTGACTTTTTGAAAGTTTCTAGACAGGTTTCTCGTTCAAATATATTCTCTTCTTATTAAGTTGCTAGGCATTTCTAGACTACAAAAATTAGGTCCCCCCGATAATGTGACAGAACCCAATTCTTTTACGCCCCGATTTCCCCATATAGCCCCCCAGGCAACGAGGAATTCATCTCCCCCTCCCAAACAGCGCCCAGGTGCAATTTCCGGCTTTTCCCCCATACGGGTCCGTCTCCCCCCAAATTGGCTACATAAGGCTTCTCCTTCCCCTTTTGGGAATACTGGCTACTCCTGAGAACCCATCATCCCTTTCCGGGGGAAATGCTAATCCCCCATCGGGTCCCTGGGTGGCTCATTTGAGATGCCATGGGCTCTCCTCTCCATCCCCTCCTTCCAGCCAGATTGAGGTGTTGGTCTGCCTCAATTTGAGCCGTCGCCCCCTGGCTGGGACTCCCCGCAATTCTCAGGGGGCCATAGCCTTGACACAGCCCCTCAAAGAGCAACAGAAAACTTTTTTAAAGCGAAATCGCTGCCCTGCTTGGTGCTAGATTGCTAGCGGGGGGGGCTGCCTAGCCGATAGTTACCAGATCTTTCGGTGTTTTTATAGGATATTTTGACAGTGTTTCTGGTAGACTTTGGCCAGTAAAAAGGCATAAAAATTTTCTAGACAACGTAAATATTTGCACTTTTTATCAAAGGTTAAAATAGTCTTAAAGGATCTTTCCGTGCTTGAAACCGCCGTAAAATAGCGCCTTTAAAAAAATTATCGCTAAAAAGCCATAAAAATTTTCCAGAAAATCTTAAATTTCCATTTTTATCAATTTCCTTTTCCTAATTTCAAGAATCGCAGTTTTTAATGAATTTTTATGCTTAAAAGCGGCGGTAAAAGCCATACAAATCGTGTATTTCAGGTTTTTGATCGCTAAAAGGTTAGAAAAATGGTCTAGAAGACCCCCCGCTACCACCCCAGTACCCCCGGAATTCCCAGGAGGGCCCCCTTTGGGCCACAGCCTTGACACAGCCCCTACACAAAACGAGAGAAATGGCTGTCCCTGGTGCCCGCCGGGGGCCCCTAGCGAAAGAACGGGGTGCATTTTAAATCGTGCTCTTTTTGGGGGGCGAGAATTTTGGGCATCGATTGTGGGCACCAATTCCACGAAAAAATACTTTGGTCGCTCCAAATTTTTTTCAGGGAAAAGCCGGGCGGTGGTAATTGAACTCGGCCGGATGGGGGTAGGGGGGGGGATTGGATGGGGGGTTGATCCAATTATCTGGGGGATTCCAGTGGGGGCAAAGGTCCCGAAACGAAAGGCCGAAAAAGGGCAAAAGTATTACCTACGTATCTAAAAGGATTTCGAGAATCCAGTGCCGGTTCTGTAGTTTGTATTCTCCCGTTTTTCAGCATATCCGCTTTCTTAGAATCGGAAAAGAAAACGGGTTGGAGTTCGACAAGAATTTATCTAAATCAGAAAAGAAGAAAAAGGTAGGAGTTAGATAAGAATTTCATTAAATTAGAAAAGAATAGGCAGAAAAGAAAATACGAAAAACCGATGTTTTGGAAGATTCCGGCACGAATTTCTATGTTACAATGAAAATATGGTTGGACATAGACCAGATGCGAGAAAAATTACGGCAAAAATGTAATATTTTACTGTTATCAAGAAAATCGCGCGCTTGTTTTGGTGAAAGTTGTTTAGGATAAATTTTACTCGATATTTTAGGATAAAAAGGCCAAGTTAACCTTACCGTAAACCGGAATCGGGTGTACGACGTGACCGCCGCTCGTCTCCAGCTTGCATTCCCATTCTCCGGCGTCAGCTATCGAGGGATGAGTGAGGGTCCAAGTGGCGTTACGGCCATCTTCACTCACCGTCGGCACGTGTTTACGACCATCGCTTTTACGTTGAAATAACGCCTAAAAATATATATCGACGAGAGACATAAAAATACTATTTTGTGTAATGTTTATTACTTACTTATTAGTTAGGCAGTAAAAAAATATTTTTAAAAGTTGTTGAAAATTAAAATTTTTGAGCTTTTGTGGACATTTTTCCTACAACCTTGACTAGAATTCGACATTTATAGAATTTTTCTATGAGCTTTTTACAGATAAAAATGTTGTAAAATGCTATAAGAGCCGGTTGAAATATTGTCTTCGCTTTTGGGAATAGTAAAGTACCCGTATTCCTCATCATCCCTCACCCAGCTACTTTTTAGAAAACCCTGGAGTGCGAGCTGTCATTTTTCATGCTCGAGCGCCCGGTGCCGCTGCCCCATCCCAAAGTCACCCGTCCCTGAATCACACACAATTTCAGAAAGTGCCCACCGACGCGCCTGGGGGCCTATAAATTGGCGGGGAAACAGATGTTGTGTCTGCGGGGGTAATGGCGCCCAGGAAAGTGTCGCCGCTTTTCTAGACTCCAGCCAACAACGTACCGATTCGATCGTCGCGGGTCCCTCGGGTGAACACCATAATGTGAAAGCGGCATGAGATGTCAGCGGGTAGGAGTGGGATGAACGAGTGCCCTAAAATGGGAAAATATAGAGTGAGCACGAGAAGTTATCTAGATCACTAAAAGATACGCTTTTCTAGCTTTTTTGGTTCTCGTTCGGGTGCTTTAGCATTAGCGGGGGACCAACTCTTTTCCTATGAGCCAATTTTTCTTATATAACGAGAGAAACCGTTTCTAAATTTATTTTTACCATTTCTGAGCCTAAAGACTTTAGAAACCCTACTATCCTACTATTTATAAAAATAGTGTCTGTGTGTGTATTGTGTGTGCATTTGCATGCAACTTCGCGAAGCGGCTTTTCAACCCTGGTTTTAATAAAAAATATGAAACTACCGATTTTTCAGTTTTTAGATAACCTTCGATTTTAAATTAGCCTAATTTTACTAAGGAAAAATAAACTATTTTAGTAGCATTTTACGCCTTTTATAGATACAAAAAGTTGAGCGAGAATCGCTAGTTTCCAAAAATCCGGACTTTTCGGCCAAAATGCATGAAAATTCGTCAAAAAAGCATAATTAAAAATGCCAGCTTTTATTAATCCGAAAGTACAAAAGACACTGTGAAAATGGTCTGTAGTTTGTTACAATTAAAATAGGGAGAAGCTTCCCCCGCTAACGAAACAGAGTCCATTTCCCCCGTATTTTTCAGGCATTTCCAAAACTCGCCACCCAGTTCTCCCGCCCGAAAATCGAGGCAATTCACCCAGTCGAGTCTATTGACGATTTGACAGACTGTTTACCTTGAAATGCAAGACGACAGAGGCTGATCCCCGTCCACGAAGGGCCGCGACAAGTGGAAAGAGCAGCAGACCGAATAACGCGTGGCACAGCATTATCCGCACGCCCGCAGCTCCGGAGAATACTAAATTCTACTCAATATTCGACTCGACCAGTCGAGTGGAATTTATGAGGGAGGACGCTTGAGAAAAGTGAATAACCCGGGCGGGGCAAAAGTAAATAGTCTCCGGTTGGCTGGGGACGGGTGGACCGACCGAAAAAAGGATGCGGAGAACCCAAAAAAGTAAGCGAGCTTCTTCCTTGGGGGGGGGCTTTTTGCTACCGTGGCACTCGGATGCGTGTTCAGACAAAAGCAACAGCTGACGCGAATCGATGTAACTGGCTCGACACATCCGGGGCACTAATCGGGATAATCAACAATGATCCTTATGGAATGCAGGAAAAAGGTGTGATGATGCAGCGAAAAAGGCTTGATTTAGACGTCGTACTTCGGATCGGGTCCTTTCGCATTAATGGGGGAGGGTTATCGGTGGAGGCAAAAATTATTTCCTAGAATCCAATGTTTTAAATATAAATAGCGGAAGTGTTTCTAAACGATTTTTTAACTATTCCTTTTAAATCTAATTTCTAATCATAAAGAACTTTACAAACTTTTACGAAAAAATACAAAAAATATAGATTTTCCGCCCAAAAAAACGCTGTTCTTGCACAAAATTTAGCTTTTTTGAAAATTTTTTGTAGTTTTTAGATGTTTTTCCTAGTCGAAACTAAGTTTTATTTTACTAAAAACATTATTATAATGCTTTCTATGAAGTTACCAGGCATTCTACTTATATAAAAGACCCCCCCTCCCCCGATATTGCGAAAGCACCAAGTCGACAATCTTTGCATACTGTTTTAGCTGTGCTATAGCGCCATATTCGATACCTAAACACCATAATTCCAGAAAGAAAGAGGATTAGGGCAAAATCCCCGCACCCATCAAAATTAAATGCCATCCACCAAACGCTCGGGAGAAGCCATGGCAGCTGGAGTGGAGCGAGGTGCGTAAGATAGTGGTCGATTTTTGGGCATTTCGCTGTGGACAAACCCGAAAGAGGGGGATTTGCGGTTGAGAGGCGGGGCCGCCAAGGCCCCGCGATGCCCGCCTAGAGGAGCCCCAACGCAAGCCAAAAGCCAAGAGGCACCACCAACACACCCTCTCTCCCACCCCACCCACCAGACCCCCCTAATACGCCCCACTCGGCCAATCCAGACAACCGAGCAAAAACATGACAACCCGTATTTAACGCTATTTTGCGCTCCGCTGTATATAAATGTATCCGCTCGGCCCCAAAAATCTATAAAATAAAATTTTTATATGTTTTGTTTTTTTTTTTTTTCTTTTTCCTTCCTTTTTTTCCATAATTTAATTAAAAAAAAAAAAAAAATAAATTTTATTTTTTTATTTTTTTTTAAATAAAAAAAAAAAAAAAAAAAAAAAAAATTTTTAAAATTTTTTTAATTTTTTTTTTTATTTTTTTTTTAAATTTTTTTTTTTTTTATTTATTAAAAAAACTCCCCCCCCAAAAAACCCCCCCCCCCTTTCCTTTCCTTTTTATTACTTCTTTTTTTTCCTTAAAATATTTTTTTTTTTATTTTTTTTTTTTTTTTTTTTTTTTTTTTTTTTTTTTTTAAATAAATTAAAATATTTTAAAAAAAATTTTTTTTTTTTTTAAAAATTTTAATTTTTTTTAAATTAAAATAAATAAAAAATTTTTTTTTATTTTTTTTAAAATTTTTTTTTAATTTAAAAAAAAAAAAAATTAATAAAAAATTTTTATATTTTTTTTTAAATTTTTTAAATTTTAAAAAATAAAAAAAAAAAAAAAAAATTTTTTTTTTTTTTTTAAATTTTTTTTAACTATTGAATTAAAATAAAATTTTTTTTTAAATTTTTTTAAAAAAAAAAAAAAAAAAAAAAAAAAAAAATTTTTTTGGTTAAAAATGGAAAAAAATTTAAATTCAACTTTTTAAAATTCAGAAAGGTAATGTGGTATCTAAAGAGAAACGGCCGTTAATTACGGGGAAGCACAATTCTTTTTTCTGGGCGTTATTTCTTGGGAAGCACGAAAGGCCCACGTTCAAGTTCCGGTCTTCTATCGCGATCTACGCCTATTTAAGGAGAGAGACGCAGATGTTTTTAGGTGTATTCGGACCAATAACTGGCACTGCGCTCCAAATATCGGGTCCGCAAAAACAGAACAACATCGAGTATCGCGTATAAATTCGGTGTCAGGCAAAACAAGTTTATAAACTGCCCAAATTCCAATCGTGAAAAGGTAACGAGATCAATTTTTGAGGCTGAGGCGTACCGGTGACATCACATTTTTTAAAAAACCGTAATTTTTAGGAAGAGTTCTAGGCGACCGGGGTGAGTCGTTGTTGCAGCTCTGCGCTAATCTTCGTCATCTAAACAAATTAGTAGACTACAAAAGCGGCAGTACCTTGAGAGGTTTTCCCTCGAAGGAAAGCTCCGAGAATTTTTGAGCGGCTTGAAACGCGTGGAATTTGTTGACGAATGTAACCGAAGCCGCGGTTCCGTCGACCCGGATCTAAAAGCCCGTTTAGTGCAATGTAGGCAATATTACGTCAGAAATGATAAACGGCGTGAAAAGGGCGCCAACTGAAAACTTGGAGACGTTCAATGGGAAGCCGTCAAAAGACAAGGTCGCCGTGTCCACATCAGCCAGGGTACCATTTTTTTCTAAATTTAAATAGTTTGGGCCAAAAAAAGGCATAAATCAGCATGAGAAAGCAAACCAAAACTACTAAATCCTTTAAAGACATCAAAAAATTACCTTTTGTGAGATCGTGAAGCAATTGGCCAGATTGGCTAACGAGTGCTTGATTGAAGCGAGGAATCTGCGTCTCGGCATTATCCTTGTCATTGTTTGAGTCGACGATGCGTTTGACCGTCAGATCATGGGATACCTCGGACCTAATATACTTCGTTTTACAGGGTTGAAATTTTCCTTACATAGCAGCAGCCTTTCCGAGACCAGAGCTCTTCAGAGCCTCCCGTCCAATCCACTGGGCCACGTTGCCGAGCACCATTTCACGATCCAAGTCGGCAAATCTGCAGATAGAGCTCGAGCAGCCAAAAATTATACTCACTTATTCAAGGCATTTTCCAGCAGAATTCCCTGGCGAATCAGTCCATAGCGCGCAGTCAATGTTTTCATCCACCTCAACCGCCAAGTATAAACTATTAAAAACTAATACATACTTGTATTCGATTGAATCCTTGAACGGGAGGATGTGGATGACCAGCGAGACGGACGGGTGCTTCTAAAGCAAACACCAGAATAAGCTCGGAAAGGATAGGCTACTTCAAAAATGTCCTCGTAAATTTCCGCAACCCGGACACCGTCGTTTACCGGGGCATAGTAGTGGACAGTCTCTTGTTCCTAAAATAAAAAGAGATGCTGCATATTCAAACAACAAATACCTCGATTTCGAACATGATTCCCAAATCGCAGGTCTTCGCGCTGACAAGTGGCAAGAACCAGCGACCGAATTCACTAAAAATCTATAAAGCAAGACCAAAGCAACAAACATAAGCTTTTGCATTTGGGTTTCATCTTCCATAGAGGCAATCACGGCATACTTCCGCTTGCACATGTTCGGACTGAAACTCGAGTATGTAGAATTTGAAGAAAATGAATCGAGAAGAACCATAGAGCAATCAAGTGGTGGCAACAAAAGCGCGCCAAAGCAATGAATACCAGGTGGTCGTCAAATTTTAGCGCCCCGCCAAGGTCAGTCGCGTGCAAAGGCGCATGGCGGTTTTATGAAAATCTACACCACCCAGGCAGCGTGGCCACTCTAGACAGAAAGAAAAGCAGATTGACGATATAAAAACATGATTCTCTGTTTTCCGCTTACAAGATTCACGATCCTCTTTTCACTGGAATATCTATGCATACTCTGAAAGGTCCATAAAACGTGTATTCATCGGAAACACAGCATAAATACGATGATACTACTCACTAAAAAGGACATTCTACTATGACAGTACCAAGAGAAATACCGTGGGAATCATCACATTGTGCAACAACAAAGAAAATCGGTCAAACAAAACCCCAGACGCCAAATGAAGGAATGATCTCGCAAATATTCAGGGAAAGAACATTTTGGTTTCAAATGGCATATAGACACAGAGATATGACAAGGCCATATTCAGAAAGGAAAGTTTATCACTCATCATCGCTTTCTTCGGTATATTCTTCCTCGGATGAAGCGTCGGCCTTCTCCTCCTCTTCATCGTCGGTAGATTCGTATTTGGGCGCGGCGACTATCTTGGTTTCCTTGACATCCAACTAAACGAAATTATGCGTAAGAATATAAAAAGGGTCTTTAGGATTCCCGGGGAACAAATTTTTTCCTGGTGGTCCCGGTTGGCTTAGTAATCAAATATAAAGTGTTTTCGAATTGTTTTTACCAAAGTTTTAACTATATTTAGAGCGGAATAACTTTCAGAAAAATTTAGAAAAATGTTTGAAAAAGTCGAAAATTTGGTCATTTTGGGCCTATTTTTCGACCTAATTTTTATTTTTACATTTTTTGTTAAAATGTGTGTAGTTTTTATGCACAGGAATAGTTAAAACAATTTAGAAACGCATCCGCAATTATACAAAATCCTAGGCTTTCGCCGAAAAAATTTGTTTCCCCCGGAATACTTTCCCGGGAACCAAAGACCCAAAAGGAGATTACTTTCAAGTCACGACTGTAGTCTGCATCCATGTACGAATCAGAATGCACGCCAAGAGTGAACGTGTATATTCCCTTTTCATCAGGGGCGTTAAACCTCATCTCGATCTAAAAGAAGGTAATTTTCATTTTTGTGGAAATTAGTACCGTCTGGCTGTCCACCAACGTCTTGCACGGCGTCACCGGTGCGACTAACCGCCGGTGCTGCTTGTGGTCCTTGAGTGTCAATGACAACCACCACCACTCAAATTTCTCTGAACCATCAATCAAAAAAATCCACCTAGAATGTCAAACCTCCTGGGTAGAATGGCGCGTGAACCGGATGTGTTTCTTTTGATTTTGATTCAAAGATATTCTTCGGCGGCTTTGCCCAATCTTCGTCGACGTCGCTGTCGTCTTGGTCCCCACCAGACTGGGCCGGTTCCTCGGATCCCGAAGACTGAGATTCCTCGTCCTACAAATAAAGATTAGAAAATGAAGCGAGACGACTTACAGATTCTGAGTCACCGTTGGCGGGCTTCTTTGGTTTCTTCTTCGGCGAAGCCTCGGACGGTGTGTTTCCGACAGAAGTGGTCGGCTGGGATGGTTCGGGCGAAGCCTCTACAGGAGCAGCCGCCGGGGCCTTTGGCTTCGGCTTCGGCTTCTGCTTCGGTTTGCCCTTTCCTTTCTTCGGCTGCTTCTCCCAGACCTTTCGCTTCGGTTTCTTTTCCTCTTCTTCTTTCTTCTTCTCCTCGTCCTCATCATCAGACTTTTCATTCTCGTCGCCGCTGTTCTCATCGGCACTCTTGGCACGATAATCATCCTCTGCAGGCACCACGCTACGGTCAAGGAGCGAACGACGGGTCAGTGTGACTTTTAGGGTCACGAGACATTTAGCCGTGACTTCATGCTTATCATCCTCGCCGGCTACTTCAAAGTGAGTGTCGATCTGGAGCTGGGGCATCGATGAGAGAACAATCAGCACATCGCGGTACTGCATCTCGTCCAATGAGTTCAAAACTTGTTTCCGTTTCTGCTCGTCCAAATTCGCCAACTGGGGGCAATTGTGCACTTTGTTCTGAAAAAATCTTTTTGTCCAAGTGACAGATGACTGACCCGTTTGATAAAGTTCAGATTGTGATCACCAATGTGTGGCAATTGCAGCAATGGGGAAGATTTGGGCCATAGGGCCTGAAAGATTTTTGTATGAACAAGAATAAAAAATTACCTGAGTAAACATCGGCAATGTTTTCAACACATTCTCCATCGTCTCGAACGGAACTTTGCATTGAGAATAAAATGTCAGCTGTTGCGTGCAGGAGACGAATTCCTCGATCAAGCGGTGTAGCCTTGTAAGAATGTATCTAAACCACATTTTTTAACACGAAACATTGGCACGAACGTTTGATCAGTTTCCAAATCTGCGTTCTCCAAATCTTGTCGGGACAGGTAAGCGTAGGCCAAAATTCGAGCCTAAACATTCCTTGAAGTTCGAAAAAGTTTGAAATACCTTTAGAGCATATGGCATACACAAAGGCCTCTCTTTTCTGTTTTCACCCAAATTTGGAAAATGCTTCATCAAACGTGGCAGTGATGTGTCGTCGGTTTCACGCTCGACAACCTCGGCATTGTAGCTTTTCGAAAACTCGAAGGCGCCAGTCATAACCATTAGCATTCCTGATAAAATGTTTTTCGCAAAAAGGCGAGTAATTACGATTGATCTCCATCTTTGGCGTCCGGTGAATGAAGTAATAAAAGAGTTGGGTCGTATCGAGGAGAACCTTATCTTGACTGTACTTGATCGAATTGTACCACCAGATTCCCTAAGAAAGGATTTGATCCGAATTTCTTAACCTACGACGGCCACGGGTAGGACGATCATGAACAGCATGCCGTAAAAAGCCAAGACCCATACTCCATATTCCTTCGAAACGAGCCATTTGGGAAGCGCAATTCCAAACGTAGTTGCTGAAAAAAAGCAGTTCAAAAATTGAGGCTATGTCAAAACCTGTAGGTCCATCGGGGTTTCCATATTTTTCCCAATTCTGCCGAGCTTCATCGTCCGTCAGAGCTTGATAGGCCTTTGCCACCTTATCGAATTCCACAGGATCGCCACCGCTGAAATATGAGAAATAAGTTTCGCAAGGAAGCACTACCGATCAGGATGGAGCTTCTTCGTAAGCTCACGATATTTTTTACGGATCTCTCCAGCTTCGGCACCCTAAAATAAGGGTAAAAATCTCTTGATAACAAACCGTATCGAGCCCCAGAATCGCGTATGGATCGTATTCATTGTGGGTCACTTCAATGGAAGCAACCTTGTTGGCGAGAATGAAGAAGATTCCCCAGGCAGCTGAACAAAATAATAACCAAAAAGATCAAGGACAACATACCAAGCAAAAAAGCTATCCTCAGAAAGACCTTTGTACGCTTCCACGGCTTGTTAGCCTCTTTCCGATCACGTTTGACAAGACAGCCCCGACATTGGCATTGAGTTTCATCAACCACCTTTTCTTCTAAACAAAGTTGGCCAAGCTATCGATAAGCTTACCTTTATGCCTGTTCGGGAGGATAAAATAAGTGATCGGGATCAAGACGATGGCATAGAAAGAGATCAGGACATAGTAGAATGTATTTCCGACTTCATCGTACTGAAATTCGGCGCGCCCCATGGAGCACGGTTTTTACCTGGAAAAATGGATTGATCTTTTCCGATTTCAGCAGAATACGTATAAAATAGTAGAATACGTATAAAAAAAAGAGAAAAAACGCCGAGTTGGAAAGTATACGAAGAGAATACGTTTCAATCTTTGGTATTTGAGAGGGCAACCATGCGAAGGAGTCTATATGGTGTAATGTTAGGCATATAACGTGTTTTTATTAATTTTTGAACGTCTACAACACAGTCGACGTAGATGTTCATCGGATGTCGGCCGGCCAAATGTCCGGCTGTCTGCATGCACTGGAATCGTCAGCTAGGCCGAAGGGGAATCGTGGCGAGACGTGGCCGGTTGAACATTTGCTTTGTCATCGAAGCCTCGGCCTTTGTTCAGCTCGATAATGATAAGCCGGTTTCGAGAACGGAAGGCGGCTTTATATCAGGCTCATAAACTTCAAATAAGACAATATTCGATTTTTCCTCCTTTGTTTTTTTTTAGAATTCGATTTCCGTTTTTAAAATTTCAAATTTTGTATGTTATGAAACTCAAAGTTTTTATCTTCGATTCTGTGCTTCGTTCTTTTCCTAACCCCGGGAAATCTAAAATTCTAGAACCAGTAAATCAACTTACATTCTAACAACTCGCTCGAGTTTAATTTACATATCAGCCGAGATTTTTACTTTTGAGCCTGAAGTATTTTTCATTACTTTATTTTTTGAACTGTAATTTAATTTATTCTTGCTAATGAGACCAGGGGAACATTTTGATATACTAGAACACTGTAGCACTCTAGATACAAAAAGTGGGGGGACAAACTACATCTTTAACTAACAATCTTCGCTTCCTCTTTCTTCCCAACCTCAAATAACCTTTTCTTCCCACTTCTAATTACAAATATTCATTTTCCTAGTTCCCCGTCGAAATGGACGACCTCAAGAAGCTGCTGCGCGAGCGTGACCACCTCGACTCCAAAATCGCATTGGAAGAAAGTATCTTGAAGCAGGTGCGCTAGAAGTGTGAATAGCAAAGTAGTATTTCAGAATCGCTCTACGATGGATTCGCCCCTCGTCGACTCCGAAGGATTCCCGATTCCCTCTATTGATGTGTATGCAGTTCGAACTTCGCGGGTTCAGCTGATCCGACTGGCCAATGATAGGAAGGCCCTCCAAGGTATCGCTAACCACTCATTCCTACCATATCAGTGTTTTTAGCGAAGATTGCTGAGTCACTGGAGGCTGCCCACGCTGATGAGAGACTCCGGAAGGAAGCCGGCGCCTCCGAGCTCGAGACTCAAAAGGAAGATTTCGAGATTGTCCATCGCACTAGTAATGACCCCTTTGCCCGTGTGATCAATGTGTTGCCTGGTGGCCCGGCTGATGAGGTAATTTTTCAAGGTTAAAAGCACTTTCTTTTTTTTAGGACGGTTTGAAAGAAGACGATTACATCCTTCAATGGGGCCCGATTCACCGTGCCATTTTCACGGGCATCGTCGGTATGGCTGAAGAAGCGAAGAATGCTGAAGGGGTTCGCTAATGTTTATGACGTATTTATCCTTTTAGAAGATTCTACGGGTCACGGCACTCCGAAATGGGCGCGCGGTTCGCTTGGAGATTCGACCGCGAAAATGGAAAGGAAGTGGCTTGCTCGGCTGTGGTCTTGAGAAGGCCACTGAATACAAATAATTGTTCTACTTTATTATTACTTACGGGTGTTTTGTGATTGAAGTTGATCCGTTGAATTCCGGTTTATGCCTTGTGGTTTTCGATAAAGTTTCTTTTGTGTTATGTGATCCTGTATATCTAACGAGGGTTATAATTCCCCTGAATATTTGATGAAAGTTGACTTTATAAAAGTGGAAACGGCTGATGTACTATTCATCATATATCCCCATTTTAGGCGATGCTTTCTTGGTCCCAACAACAATGGAAAAATTTCGGCATTGGTTGTTTTTGGGTGGGTTATTTTTGCCTTTGCACAAGAAACCACTTTAGACGCTCGCCTCATTCGTCTTCTTCCGGCTACTTCAATTCGTTGTTAGGTGGTATCTCTTTGGAAAATGCACATTCAGGTTCGCTCTCCCCTTATTCAGCGTATTTTCTTATTTAGGACATTTTCATATTTTGGCTTACGAGGTAGACGACAATCGGAGTTGAATGATTCTACCGTACTCTCGGTAACGATTTTTTCCAATGGCTATGACTTCAAATGTGTTTCAGATTATTCCCCCTAATAAGAAATGGCGAATTTGCAATGAGGCTGTCTCGTTGATACATTCGATTGTAAGTTTTGATTCGATCGTTCGCTGGCACCTTTAGCTATAGCGAGGATTAAAAAAATTATAATCCGAATTTAGGCATCGGGCTTGTGGGCAGCTTACGCGCTCCTGTATTTCCCGAATCTCCTCAGCGACATGATCAATTACCGTTGCGACGTCGGCGTCAACTTGGTATTCCTCAGCCATTCTCCCAAAAATGTGTTTTTAGCTATTTTTATCGGCTGGTTATCTTATTCACGATCTGGCTGACTTGCTAATAAATGAGCGCTCAAAGCGAATCCTCGAGTTGCTGTTCCACCATTTCATCGTGCTCCTCGCCTTCGCAACTACCCTGGTTTGTCTAATTTCGGTCATTATTAATCGGCGCCTAGGTCACCAACAAGTTCCTTGGCGTCGTGATTTGCGGTTTGCTGATGGAGTTGAACTCGATCTTCCTACATTCACGCTCGATGCTCAATTTGTACGGGACGGACAAGAAATCGCCACAATTTCGCATGGTTGCCTTATTGAACATGGTGACGCTGATCGTTTTCCGGATGGCCGTTTCCGTCTATTTGTTTTATTGGATGGTACGTTTAGTTTCGATGATTATTCAATTTCATTTGAAACGCATGAGTTAGATTCGGGTTTTTATTGTATAGCCACAAAAAATGTTTTGCAGGCCACCAACTTCAATTCGATGCAATGGCTCGAGGCGATCCCGACGGTGTTAGTCATCTCCTCCCTCTGCACGACGAACACAGTCCTCGCCTACCGTGTGATGGCCGCCGACGGTCTTTTCGGTAGATTTTCATTTTGCTGATTTATTTATCATTTCTTTAGGTACCTCTCGTGCCCGCAAAAACGCCAATCCCGGAGCAGTCGACGGTCCCGAGGGTGAACTCTCTTCCGAAGACGAGCAAGAGGATGGACCTGGCGCTCCAGTTGAGGTTGGTTCTAACAGTCACTTTTTCACTTTTCATCTTAGGTTGCCGTCCAAACGCCAAACGGAGAGGTCAACACTACCGTCTATGCACACGTCGAAACACACGACATTCCCCCGGTGTAATTTATTTGTCACGCTGATTTTTTTTGCTATTTATCCCCCACAGTGCCATGCTTGCCCGCAATTCACGAAACGCATCTCGCTCTCTCGCCCCCAAATCCACAATTTCCCCCTGATCTCGCTCGTTTGGTTCTATGCCAAAGGCGGTTCGAAGTTCAATTCTGTATTCTGATGATATGTGTCTGTCTCTTATGCTCCTCCTTGTTTCTTATCTTGTCATGTTGTCCATTCGCTTCCATCCCTGTCAATGGTGTCTATTCGATAAACGTTTGAAAGATGAGTTGTAGTGAGCGGATGTTTGAGGGGTTTGACACTACAACACTGTATCGAGCTTCAGCGGGTAGATTCCGGCAGCTCCTAAGCACAGAGACTCTTTGTGGGGGCGTCCCCCCATCGAGGCGCCTCAAACCTAAATAGATGTTCTAATGCAATACTAACGGCTTTTCAAAACTATCTAACAAATGAACTAAAAAAATCTGAACCAACGAATTCTTTCAGGTAACTAATGGCCGTTGGAGAAGAAGGATCAAGTTCTGCAGCACCAGTCGTTCCGGAGGTATGTAGCGCTTGCTCGTCAAACTTGCCATTTTCAGGATCCGGATAAAGCCAAATACCCCATCCCAAGTTGGGCCGGTAAATCGCCGGCTGGTTACCATCTGGATGTACTGAAAAATGATGCGCTTGTACAGGTATTTAGGGAATCCGCTATGAATATTTTCTTTAGAAGATATTTATCGACGAGCGGAAAAGCTACTACTTCGGCCGAAACCCGAACCAGGTAATTTAATGTATCTAGATTCCTCTAACCTAATTATTTCAGGCCGATATTATTGTCGAGCACGCCTCATGCTCCCGGGTGCACGCTGTACTCCTATACCATACTGGGTTAAAGCGATTCGCCCTGGTCGACATGGGGAGCAGTAGGATAATATCTAATGTTCATTTTCTAAAGCAATTTAGGCCATGGATCGTTCTACGGCAAAATTAAACTCGAGCCATTGAAACCCTATTTTCTCGAGCCGGAGACAGAATTTCATTTCGGCGCTTCGTCGAGAAAGTTTGTCTTTGCCCACTTAATAACCTGGCAATTCAGGTTCATTGTACGAGAAAAGATTGTCACTCACAGCGGTGCCAACCGAGATGACGATGAGCTCAGGAGCACCCAACCTAGTGATATTCAGCTGGAGGTATTTTGCAGCGAATATACCCAAACTCTGTTTTTAGCAAGTCACCGAATACAACACGGCGCAAAACCGTCGTGCCCAAATAATTCCACAATCCGCTGAAGAAGCGAGGAGAAAGAAACGGCCGCGCGGAAATGTGGCATTTATTGAAGAGGAGGATGTGATCAATCCAGGCATGTCCACTTGGTAAAACAATCATTTTCGTTTTTTTTAGAAGATGTGGACCCGACAATTGGACGTTTCCGAAATCTTGTGACGACGGCTGTAATTAGCGGGGCGGGAAACAAGCGGCAACTATCCGGCCAAGGAAGAGACGGTCCCACACGGAAGGTATGATCATCTACAATTTCTCTAATAGTTTTTAGATTGTCCGCCCCATCAAAGAAGATGCACGTTATGCAGCGCCTATGTCGACGACGCTGAACATTACGTTAAACTCAGCCCCCGATCTCGACCTATATGGTCAGTGTCGTTTCCCTTCAGAAAAATTCTAAAAACGGTCTAAATAACTATTTTTTCAGGAAATCTTCCGAAGCCTGGTACACATGCGCTTGGACCACTGGCCCCAGTCCACCATGTAGGCTCACTATTTTCCCACATTATGTCGATATTCAGGTCCTCGAAGAAGACCCCGAGGCATCCCACAAAAAGAAATACGCCAAGGAAAGTTGGCCGGGCCGGAAACCGCAAGGCGCATATTGAATCACGTACCTCCACTTCTTTCTTTGTTTTCGTGCCGATTTGTTATGGGGATTTATGTTTATCGTTTATGTGCGTTTTTGTCAAATAAATCTTTCGACTATTTTCGTTGCAAGTTAATCCCGAATGTTCAGAATCCGGTAGCTATCGAATAAATAAGGTGCGCATCTGACGAAGAGTTCAGATGGCCGAATCAGAAGATGAGAGCATGTCCACCCAAGAAATAATAGCGTTGCTAAAAAGTAGGCTTGGGTATCGAAAATCTACAATGTCACATAGCGCCGGACTTTATATTGGACGGAGCTGTGGAGAGAGTTCTCGAGCCGTATCTCGCCAGTAAGGAGAGCGACGTGGATATGGTCGTCGACTGCTTGTCTACCAATTACAGAGGAAGCGCAAATGTGAGTTGATTTTAAGGATCAGTAAATCGGGCGTTTTTAAGATGTGCAAGTTGATGACCGACTGGCTCGAGCAGTTGGGCTTTGACAAGGCCGAGCCCCAAGCATCGACCAGCGAGGCGAAAGCTGATGAGCATGAAGCCGATTTGAAAAAGGGCGATAAGAAGGTCAGTTTGCATAATAAAATCAAGGCTTACGAACTAGGGCAAAGCGAAAGGCCGCGCGCGGCAAAAGCGAGAAAAGAAGGACGATCCTGCCGATGCGCCAACCACATCAGACCCTGCTCTATCAGCGGTTACTGCTTGCGCCGAGAGTTGGTCTATTTGTCTATTCTCATTTGACTTTAGACACGATGGCCACGTTTTTAAAGCGCCATTTCAAGTCTGAATGCGCCGATCGAATTTTCGATGAGTCGGGTGGTGGTATTGAATGGTTGTCGGAGCTGATCTCGCACAAGTGTGTCGTTTGAAGAACACCGTGGAATGAGGATTTATAGGCGCTGGCGGCAAATCATCTACGAATTGGTGGATCAAAATCCGCATTGTCTGATGCTGAAGTTTGCCGTCAAGCTAATTTCCGATGCTGGTCATCAACGTGAAATTGTCGGTGTGCAATCGGCATCTGATCAGGTTGCTCAGTTTGAACGTCTCGTTAATCTACTGCCGTTCAGTTGGAGATCTATAGCCGCGTGTTAGTGACGGCTATTGATGCCGTGCTGACCGAGCATCGCCGTGGGGAGCATACGGAAAAGTACGAAGCTGTGTTTGCAGAATTGGTTGGTTTGAGCGGCGCTTTCGAATTTATTGAAAAGTAGCGTTCTAAGCCACCTTTTCAGCAAAAAATTGTGTCTCAAGGCGAGCACACCTACTTGTACGCTTCCGCATTATTGGAGGTAAATTTGTTTTAGCCTTAAAACGTAATACCTTTTATTAGGCGCTATCTAGAACGTCTACGGGTATGTCCGCAGCGGCGTGTCATCATGTGATGCAGTCATTACGCACGGCTGTTAAAGGTAGAAATGAAAAGCTTAGAATCCTTAGAAAAATGGTTTTTTTTAAACAATAATAATCCCTAGGCCGCGAGCACGAGACGACAGCTATTCGATGCGCGCTGCTGCACACTCAAGAAGAACAGGTAGGCGGCTTAGAAATTCGATAACTAGAATTCTGCCTAGGTTGAAGCCACCGTCATCCAAGCCCTCTTGACGATGACCAGCAAGGGCGAGCTGAACCCGGCGGATATGACGCAGGTCTACCAGGTGTGAGGAGAGAACCATCAGAATTCTCAAATAAGGAATTTTAAACATTCATAAAATAGTTAATATAAAAAAATTAGCAAACATACAATTTCTAGCAATACATTTTGCCCCATCCGCCGCCCGTCGAGGCGATCCGTGATCCGCTCTTCATCCACATGCTCGTCGACTCGATTTTCCACTGTGACGGCCCAAGGGTACGAATTTTATTTTTTTGATTACAATTTTTCTCAGGTAAACGTCGAGCATCGTGAGAAGTACATTTATTTGCTGGCTTACGCGTCTTCCGTCTCAGAGACTTTCCGGAATGGGCGGCGCGCGGTGGGTTTTGTCGCAATTTTTTCGAATTAGTATTTTATAGCAGATGAGAGTTGATCTCGACATTGCCCGTGTGGCCATCGAGCGGACGGCGGCGGCCGTTGAAGCCGCCGATGATGTGGCCGTGGAGTTGCCAAACTTATTGAGGTAAGTTCGAGCTTGGAAATACCTATTTGACTCTAGGGAGGCTCGATTTCCGGTGGTGGCCACCGGGTTGCTGCACTATGCGGAGACACTGCTGTTGGCTGACAATCGAATGGGTATGTATTTAAAGGAAAAGTAAGATTTTTTCAGGCGATCCCCCGCTCTGGGTATTTGTGCTTGTGGATCAGGTGGCAGCCCAGCATCCGAATCTCCACTCAACGGCTTTTGCGTTATGTTTGAAGCTGTACGAAAAAGTCTCGCTCCAGCCGGATGCTTCGGAGGTAAGGGTTTTTGAGGTAGCGGTGGGTTTAAGATAAAAATTGAAGCCAAGGCGCCGTCCCAGCGAAACTTCCCGTTTTAGGTGATTATGGAACGGCAACGGATACTTGTCGACCGTTTTGTTCACCTGCTCAGCATTGGGTTCACGATTCCCGTTCTACAAAAGGTGGGTAAAAGTGAATGAACAACTAAAAACACCTCTCACGGTTTCTTTATTAATTTCCGCATTTACCAAGGCGAAAAACACGATGACTTGTCAGGTGAACCAGATGTTCCGGAACAGCGACATCGACGCCAGCCTGGTACGCTATTTCACGCTTGAGGTAGGCAGTGCCTGAACCCAAATGGGGAAACCTGGTTGCAGGTGCTCGAGATCATCAGTCCGCCGTACACCAAAGAATTTTGCAAGCTCTTCTTGCCGTTGATCGCCGACGAGGAGATTTTCGACAAGGCGCTGCGTGAAAAGACACCGATTGCCGGGGAATTCCTCGCATATTGCCAGAGTAATTATCAGGTAAGCTAGGTAAATGAAGCGATTTAGCGAACTGGAGATTTTCAGATGACCTCATGCTCCTAATCCTGAACTCAAGACTTGATTTTGATGATACTAAGTTATTCCCGGGATCTCAACGGGTCGCCCGAATAAACGGCTACTTTATGTTGCTTTAATCTAAATACGATAAAAAAATACAATAGAGCCATTTATTCACAACACACGAGCAGAGCATGGATATACAACGGAAATGGGTGAGCAACGCGGGTTAATCACAAAAACCCCGTCAACTTTTTTTCGTTCTTTAATCAGTGGGCAACGGGGCGAAGGGGGAGGGCTGGGGCGGGGGTGGCTGGTAGTTGATCATCGTGGCTAGTTGGCCGGGCTGGATCCCTGGATGGGCAACACGCGCACCTCGTTGAGCATCATGTTGGGCGGCAGCCTGCCCGTAACGCGGGCCTTCAGCTTCTCGTGCCCAAGCGACTTGTCCATCAGCTGCACGCGCACACGCACCTGGAGTCGCGGTTTCTCAGGTACTGGACTGTTAGCAGGGGGGCAAACTTTGCTCTATAGCTTATTGGATTCCAATAATGAAATGCACATTTTATAGTTTTTACGCAGTTTTTAAGCTTAGAAGTTTGGGAAAAACTATGAAAATACGATAGCTAAATTTCCCTCCCAAAAAAATAGGCATCCTATAGCTTTGTTAATAAAATCTATTTTTAGGTTTTAGTTTGTTCTCCAACCCACCCGAATGACTCCGGAATTGTCGATGCCGGTGACGACCATCTCCGGCTTGCCGACGCCCTTTTTCTGGGGGGCTGGCTTGTTGGCCGGCCTGGCAGAGTTGGTAGATGAGGCCGACAGGCTCTGGGTCGGCTTCTTCTTGGTGAGGGCCTTCTTCTTGGCGGTCCGTTTGCTGGTGGTCGAGGTGGAAGCGGATTTAGAAGCGTCCGGCTGAGCGAACTTTGGCTTCTTCGGTGGCATGTTGGCAGTGCTGCGAGGGGCTGAAGCGGTAGAACGAGGAGCAGAGGCAGCCGAACGGGGAGCTGAAGCAACAGAGCGAGGAGCCGACGCGGTAGAGCGAGGAGCTGAGGCCCGGGAACGTGGAGCAGAAGCCGTAGAACGCGGGGCCGAAGCAACGGAGCGAGGGGCTGAAGCCGCAGAACGCGGAGCCGATGCGCCAGAACGAGGGGCGCTCTTGGCGAGCGAAGCCGGCCTAGCAGCCGAAACCGGGCGAGACCCAGCAGCAGACGTCGGACGACTCCCGCTTTTCTTCGGCTTCGGCGTACGCGTAGCCGACGCAGGGTCTAAAATCACAGGACATAAATCATTTGAAACCCGCCTACTCGAACGCAGCGATATACGGCCGACGGACTCGGTGTCCGAGGTGATCGGCTGCGCGGTGGGATGGCCCGAAGAGCGTGTCGTCGCATTTTCGAGACTGCGCGGCAACGACGTCGGCTGCTGGGTGGTCAACGACACGCGACGCACCGGGGCCGAGTTCTGAAACAATTGAAAAGGTAAAAAAGGCAAAAAACTATAAAAATTATCGAAAATTCTTCTTCTAGAATTACCAATTGTTCTGACCAATAAGGCCGCCAACTGCGCCCGAAGATCGGATGGGGTGATGCCCGAGGTGATACAAAGGTTTGGTAAAAATTTCGGGCAAAAGCAAAAAGTTTGCCACCTGCGGGGTTCGAACCCGCGCCCGGTTACCCGGACCCGATCATAAGTCGGGCGCCTTAGACCACTCGGCCAAGGTGGCGCTGATGGGTAATTGGGAAATGTTCTATTTATATGGGTAAAATTCAGTATTTTCAGCATTTCTGAAAATGCTGAAAATTGGGGAGGGGGAGTGCGGGGATGGGGGTGCGCGCGAGATCCACGCACTAATGGCGGCTTCCCTTCCAAAATCTTCCTTCTGGTAAAAAATTCTGTGTTTTTTATAGCTTTTAGTAAGTTTTAAGTATATTTATTTAATTAGAAAATCTACGTTAGAAAATCTGATGAAAAAGTCGAAAATTCGGTCATTTTCGGCCAAAAAAAATTTCTCGCCATTTTAAAGGGATGCCGACGGCATAGTCAATCGGTTAGGCGCGGAAAAGAAAATGTCTCTGCGCCTCTCCCCTGGGCGCCTCTCCCCTGTTGGCTACTTGCCAATTTGTTGATGAGGGGGGATCGACACATGCCGTCCGCAGCCCTTTAACACCCCTCCCCCCGCTAAAAGCCCAGTGCCGCGGAACTACCTGCTCAAAGTAGGGCGATGCCTTGGACGACTTGACTTGGTCGGCGGGCGCGGCCGAGGCGGGCACTCCGGCAACAGTAGCACCAGAAGCGCTGTCAGACGAGGAGACCGTGTTGTCGGGGCTAAACTCTGAGCTAGAAACCTGGGATGAAGCTCTTACCGGGAGCGGCCAAAGAGTGTACCGCCCTTGAGGGCGACAAGGCTCCTCCGACGGCCAGCCCCAGCCGATGAGCTGTTCGACGAGCGGCTGATCGAACGGGAAGTGCTGCCGCCACGTCCCGATCCGCGTCCGCGCCCACGGCCGGCGCTGGCTAGAATCAAACGATCGACTTTAATTAATTTAATTTGGTTTAATTGATGAATTTTTTTTTATATAAGGTCTTTAGGATCCGCGGGGAAACGAATTTTTTTCGGCCCAAGCATAAAGCGTATGCGTCTTAAATTGTTTTTAGATATTCCGAAGCATAAAAAACTGTACAAATTTTAATCAAAAAATTTAATTTTAGGTCGAAAAATAGATTTTTCTGACCCAAAATGATTAAATTTCAAACCCCCTCTAACGCTCCGGAAGCCGTATTCTTACTTTACCATTTTGGTATATTTTGCTGCCCTTTATACAATGTCAAAGCTCAAAACCGTTGCTGTTGTACGGCGAGGCGGAGTGCTGGGTGGCGGCGGTGTGCAAGGGAGTGTACGGATTCTCCGAGATCAGCGCCTGCACCTCGTCCGGGGTCATCGTCAGCCTGTAAACGAGATTCGTCAGATTTTTCAGGCTCATAAAGCCCTTCGAAGTCTACCTGCGAGCCTGCGAAGGAGTGATGGAGGGCCTGGGCGACTGGAGACGAGCCGTGGCAATCGACGGCGATACGCGGGCCACAATTTGTGAGGGATGGACGAGGGGCTGGGTCTCGGCACCGGAAATGGACGACGATGGGGCAGTGTGGAGCGATGGGGTGGTGGCGAGGTTCGAACGGGCCGTGTGGGCCGTCGGGGTGGCAATGTTCGAGCGGGCCGTGTGGACGGAGCTGGAGCGGGCAGTCTGGGTGCTCCCACGGCCACGGCTCGCCGACCGGAGACGAGCAGCCGAGACGCCGGTGCGCTGGGAGACCACGCTGGAATAGGGGGAATATGAATAAGTTTAGAGCTCTTTGATTTACCCGGATTCACGAAGACGGCTGCGGGATCGACGAGCCGGGCGGGGGCTGCGGTACGAAGATGAACGGCCGGCCGAAGTGTCGTCAAGACGGGAGCTGAAATGAGAAAGTTAGGCAAGAAGACTTTACAAACAACGTACTCAACCACGGGGCAAGTAGAGGTGGTCATCTCGGAGAAGGTGGTCCCCGGGGAGATGGCCCTTTGCGTGGTGATGATCTTGGCGGTGATCGAGGTCTCGGTGCGGATCAATTGATCATCCCCAGGTTGCTCACGTCCGACCGGGCTCGAGCTGGAAATAAATAGATTTCGTTAGCAAGAAAAAACATACGCATTGGCCGTCCTGACTTGGTCGTCGGCGCGTTGAGCGTCGGGCGGCGGATTGTTCGCGTCGGACATTCGATGGCGGGGGAAGGGCCGTATGGCCTCGGCTTTTTCTCATTTCTCTATCATATTAAAAACCTAGGAAAATGACTGTCATTTCCGTGCAGACAAACATGCCGCATGCAAAGATATATTTTTATTTTGAGCAATTTCTTATTCAAATCTTTTTTTGTTAATGTGTGCTTGAAAAGTTGTTGATTGCTGACTTCAAAAACGATGGGCCAATTCTACCCACCCCGGCTCACTTCCCCACCCCCCGCTAACGGACCAGTACCCAAATTTCTATTTTAACCCCCTGAATTAAACGTATTTTATTTAGATCGTTCCAGTCATCTTCAGAGAAAAAACCTGGCCGCCTACGTTTCTGCTTTTTGGTCACGATCGCATGCCGTCAAGCCATACATTACAAGCCTTGAGGGCATTACGTGGGGGGCAAAAGGGCCCCAATGCTCATAGTCAGGGTAAATATAGCAAACAGTAATAAATTGTTGCTATTCCCAAGTATACCTTCTTGCAGATCCCTCTAACAACATCCCCAAATACAGCTCTCTATCGCTTCATATGATGTGCCGTATTTTGACGGGCCCATGAACGGGGGCCCGAGAGCCCAAAATTGGCATAATTCCTTGTGGGTGGCCGTCGTCGTGGCGCGCCTCCGTTCATTATTTCGTCGGCGGGCCGAAAACTCATTATAATGGCGGCTGGGGTGACACTTCCACATCTAAAATTCATAACTTTGTAGTCGACGATATCTAAAGGTTTTATCAGGGAAAAGGAAGCGCTTTATGCCTCGGTTAATGGTACTAGACTGTTAGCGGGGGAGGAACTCTAGCGGCCTACTACGAACAAAAAAAACACTATAAAACGCTAAAAATTCTGCTATACCTATGCCTAACAAAATTTTTAGCATTTTGCCGTGTGTTTTATTCTTCATAGTAGTATTCTTTTGTCATAGTATTCTAAAAAGCAGCAAAAAATTATAGATTTTCAAAAATGAGAGCTTTTTGGCCTTTTGGACAAAAATCAGCGCTATCCAACGCTTTCATAATTCCTACAAAGTTTTTATACTTAAAAACGACGTAAAATGCTATATCATGCTAATACTTCATAATTTGGATTTTACAAGGTCAGTTCGGTCTTCTACCGCCGCTAACAGACCAGTACGCGATTTCTATCATAAAAAGGATACATTTTACACCGTGTTTTCGCCCTCATGTTAAAAGGACCTTGATCTGCAGCGCATCCGGGTGCAAAATGCCCCGCGGAAGGCCCAAAACCCCAGGAATTAGACCTATAAACCCGGGGCGGCAACCCCCGAATTTCGATTAAATCCCCCATTACATCACCTTACGCAACTTTTGTTCGTTGACGCCTTGCTGCCCTCAATACTGTACGTCAATCCGGTCTCTTCAGATACTAGGAACAGCAATACAATGGAGCCCCTAAACGAATTGACGGGGTGGTGGGAGGGGGGTCTATTCCTGCCCTTTCCGCCCCTTCCACCCACTACAGTAATTCGCTTAGAATTGCCATTCCAGGTGGGGGGTATTGGCGGCGAGGGTCCTAGAAATAGAGCTCCAGAGGCCCCGGGGGCTAATTTCGGCATTTCTCTCGTGCTCAATAGGCGGAGAAGGACTTCCCGGTAGTCGAAATGGCTATTGTGACCCCTGGCGCTCATTTTGCTAATTGACAAAACGTGGGTGTTGGGCTTCACGGCGCACCGTCAGTACCTTTTTGTTTCTAGCCCACTTTGATATGGGCGTGTCTCGTTCTAGCAGTCATTTCCTAAACGGCAGTCGAAAGGGTAGAACTCCTTGTCTGACGCCGGGTAGCCAGGCATCACTTTTGAAGCTTCCTTTTTCGAAGCGTTTCCATGTTCTTGTTTCCTAATCCTCATCACCGAACGGCTGCAACGAATGTTATAAACCTAAAAAGTGGTTCTGGTCCGTTAGCGGGGGCCCTAACTGTTTTTAAATAGCTAATTTTGAGTATATGACGCTTACAAGAAAACAGGAAAAGTTCCCCCGCTACTGAATCAGAACCGCAGAGCAATGAACACGCAACCACCCACCCCTAAAAATCAATTTAGCTATAGGCCATCTCCCTAGTCTACTATCAGCTTTCCAGCCAATTTTCGAAAAGTCTACGTGTCGGGGTTGGACATCATCGGCCTTCCTAATCCCTTTAAGCGCTGCACTTGGTAATTCCACGTCCAGTCACCCTCATCTTCACGACGCCAACTAGCGCATAACATGCTAATTGTTGAGGTGTTATGCCCCGCCGCCGCGCGTTTTGAGGGTCAGAATATTTAGCACCAGCTCCTGCGCCCTCTTACGGACATCATCAGCAGTCACGCCCTAAATAGGCGCAAAACAAGCGCCCTCCCTGGACAAACTAAAAAAACTAACTTGGACACGAACTCTGTTGACAAAATCCCCCACACATCTCTGCTGCAAACAGCTGAATTTTGCGGTCAGGCTTCCATTTTTGGCAGTGCTACTGAATACTAAAAAAGCCAACACCTGGCTAGCACGGAAAAAGATGCCCTTGCGTCATAGACGCCCTCAGAATCACCGGAATTCTATACAAGTTTTGGTTACAATTGTTCGAAGCGTTTACATTGAAATTTCTACAAAACATAATCCAATTTAGGTAAATGCGCGTCTCCGCGTTCATTTTTTGCGTGCTGCCCTCGGCCTTGGCTCATTATTTCGAGGAGATGAACGAGTAAGTCGATGTATAACCTAAATTTAGCCAAACCTATCAATACATTAGATTTCACCTATCTAAAAATCCGAATTAAACCCGAAATAACTATAATAGCGACATTATTTAGAGACAAACGAGCCATTGATCCGGCCATGGGGCGACTACGGTACATTTACGTCAGCGAGGACACCCCGGCCGCCGACCAACTTCGTAAGCACGCAACCAAAATATTACCACATCTTGATTTTCAGTGTACCTGCCCCGGCGAGCCGTAATCGAGAACTCAGAACCTTTTGCTCCACGCCAGACTCGGTCCGGAAACTTGGTAAGAAAATTTCTCCAATCCTAACGAAATACGCTTTCAGGCGCAAAGAGTCCTTTTCCTTTGGGTAAGCCGCTCGTGAATTTGATATTTGCACTTGTTTCTACACTAACACGAGCAATCGGCTCTAATAAAGGACTAACATCGCTGTTTAGGACGAAGGTTGCGCTGGGAATGGCCGAATGGTGTTGGGGAGGTGCATCTGCGAAAACGGGTGGCGTGGGGAACATTGCGACAAGAGTAAGAAATTGAACTAGGCCCCAACCCTGATTTAGAATTCAACACCCATATGAGGATTGGGAAGCGCAGTGGACGCTGGGCCGGGGCGGTGAGGGCAAAAACCATTTTGTTTAACCCAGCCATTCCAGGCCAGCGAACGCCGTAAGCAGTAGAAGTAGCAAAATCAAACGATCGTCTCTCCTTTGTTGTATAATAAAAGCGGCAAATCACATCGTTAAATGGATTTATCTATACCGCCTCCAAGAAAAGAAACCGGTATTTTTGTATATATACAGACGTTCTAAACCAATGAGCAGAAGAGCGACTAATTGACAATTCTCACTGATATATATCAAAAGAAAACACATGCTAAGCGCCTTGTTAAGGCAGTTATCCTAAGTGCTCAAGTGCTGGATCTTCAAATCTTCGCCCTTCGTCACATGCGAGTTGTAGAATCGGTTGCCGCAGTAGCCACACGAGTGCACGCCCGGCTTATCCTGAAAAACATCAATTTCTTCAACGTTTTCCTCAACGAACCAAGTTGATGAAGACCCGTGGGTGACCGAGGGCGGGATGACCTCCATCGCAATGGATGACGTGCTCGTGTCCACAATCCTTCGGCGGCTTCTCGGCAACCTAAAAACTTGATACTATCAGAAAACGAAATCTCACCAGATCTTGCGCAACATTCGGGTTGACCATTTTCGGAGAAATATCGAATCGTTGCAACCGATAGTCGGATTGGTCCCATGCCTAAATTAATCATAAGAAACGCCAAGAATTGGACCGTACCTGTCCGGTGTGCGTCACCTTGTCGAATTGCGCATTCTGCTTGCTTACGTCCGACGGAGCAGGGGCCTAACAATTAGTGAAATGGTAGCAGGGCCGTTCACTTACCTTTGTAACGCCAGTGCAGCCTCTGATCGAAATTGACGAAACACGAGTCACCCGGATCAGCGCCCGATTCATCCCTGGAATATGGCAATGTTAAATGATCAGACATCAAAGAGCAACAAGAGATTCAGTGAGCAAAATTGACAGCATCAGCTAGATTAAAACGTTGGATACGAATATAGCCTTTTTCTTTGCCTGCAGCCAAGCTCAGAACGCAACATGCTAGCTATGAAATGGAACGGTTAACGACCGCAAGAAATGCGACATCTTATTATTCCTTTCTTTAGTGCCTAACAACGAAAGTTGGCTCACAAGATGGGTTCCATCAAAGTGTAGCCGTCTTTATTAGAAGAAGCAGCCAGAGCCCGGCGCTCAACTTCCCAGCGTTGCTAGTATTACGGCGGACCTGAGTCGAAGCCAGTTCTATAAGTCAGAGTTGCTAAAAAAAATAAATTTTGAGAAACCATGAAATCCATAGCAACATCAAGAAATTAGTCCTGAACAAAAAGCGAGGAAGAACTGAATAAGGCCGGGCGTTATTTCTACCCACACAAGCAAGATCAGTAGTTTCGAGTCGCTGCCGATTTTATGAGCTGTGAAAACCCCTTAGGAAATAGCTAAAACAATTAATTACAGGACCAGATAAAATGTAAAATTCAGGTAAAATATTCCGATCGCTACTCCGAGAGCTTGCGCCGCCACCCTCCTCCTTCACCTCTTCACCGCACCGACGATAAACAAAAACGCGGGCCCGCAATTTCGGCACTATATTGGTTCGGGGGCACTTTGGGTACCTATTAGGAGACACTTTTTTATCGCTTTTTCGAGTCTTTCTGGGGTAGTTTTTTACGCTGAGTGGGCTTAGAGTCGCAACAGCATGCCAAACCGTTAGGTTTATCCAGGTCAATATCAATCCTTATTTTTAGGTCAATACCGAATGTCTTCATCTCTAACGCTTAACAAACGTTTAGATAATGATGTTTTACTACTCCGATTTTGTTATATTCGGAACCAGCACAAAAAACTAGCCTAGTAAGACTGAAAAAGTCGAAAACCAAAGTGACCCCCCAACCAGTATAGTGCCGCAATTTCTAAGGCGCCTGGAGATTTGCAATGCATTTTTTAGCCGAGATTCGTCCATCTCAAATCGCGTCTAATAACACGAGACAACTAGGAATAGCCATGGGCAAACAAAAAAAAATTTTATTGAAGAAATTGACGGATCAGAAATTAAGAAAAGAGAAAGCTTTTTAGTATTTTAAAAACAATTTTTTGGGAGCCCCTCGTTGCGATTCCGAAACGCTACGCAATGACGCTGGTGAATGTAATCCAGTGCGCCCACTACAGTAACACGGCAGGGTCGCTCTATCCACTTTTCGCCTCTTTTCCGGTTTTCTGAATTTTCTCCGGATCCTAAAATTGGCACATTGCCGGCTTTTCCAAAAGCGGGTATGAAAATCGAAATTTTATTAGCGGTTGCATCGCGAAACCATAACTTCAGAATCTTTGTACTTTAGTGACCAAAAAGCATTTTTTGTTTCTTGAATTGTGCATTCTTGCCTAACCGAGAATCTTGCTCTCTTTTGGGCTGGAATCACATTCATCATCCAAAGTTTTGGCCACCCCGTTTTCGCAACGCACTATCTCAACTGTCTTTTATCCAGATTATCCCACGATTCAGGTCTGACGATGTCTTTTGGATCAGGCGGATTCGGTCAAGCTGGAGGTGGCGGCGGTTTCGGCGCGGGTGGCTTCACTGCCTCTGCTGGTTCCAACAATACATCTTCTGGCGGCTTCGGTGCTGCTAAAGCTCCTGAGAATTCGGGAGGCGGCTTCGGACAAGTGAGGACCTTTTTTTCAAACAATTATTTCAATTTAGAGCTCCGGTGGTGGTGGAGGCTTTGGAGGCTCAAGCGGCGGCGGAGGCTTCGGCGGCTCAGGCGGTGGCGGCGGCTTCGGCGGCTTCGGCGGCTCAGGCGGTGGCGGCGGCTTCGGCGGCTCAGGCGGTGGCGGCGGCTTCGGCGGCTCAGGCGGAGGTGGATTCGGCGGTGGTGGCAACACTGGCGGCGAACGTCCGCGTGGTTGCTTCAATTGCGGTGAAGAAGGCCATCGAAGTGCTGACTGCAGCAAGCCTCGCAAGCCCCGCGAAGGTGGTGGATCATCAGGTATCGTCGGCTTTCGTGCACCTGTAGGAAACGTGCCAGCTTTTCTGCGTATTTTGTTTTTCGGCTCAGTAGATCTGTACCTTTAGCCTGTTTCAACTGCGGCAACGAGGGCCATCGAAGCGCGGACTGCCAAGAGCCAAGGAAACCACGTCCGATGAACTGCTTCAACTGTGGCCAAGATGGACATCGCAGCTCTGACTGCTCGGAACCCAGGAAGCCCCGCGAAGGTGGTGGAGGTCGTTTGATGATATCTGTCTGTTGATGCTGGCTTAGGTGGTTTTGGCGGCTCAGGCGGTGGCGGCGGATTCGGCGCCTCGTCTGGCGGAGGCGGCGGATTCGGCGGTGCTTCTGGCGGTGGATTTGGAGGCGGAGGCGGCGGCTTTGGCGCTTCGGCTGACGGTGGCGGTGGATTCGGAGGCTCGTCTGGTGGAGGCGGCGGCTTCGGAGGCACCGGTGGAGATCGTCCTCGTGGCTGCTTCAACTGTGGTCAGGAGGGTCATCGCAGCGCCGAATGCAGTGAGCCAAGGAAACCGCGTGAAGCGCGTACCGGCGGAGGTGGTGGCGGCGGCTTCGGCGGAGCAGCTGGCGGTGGCTTCGGCGGAGGCGGTTTCGGCGGCGCAAATCAGGTAGTTTCAGAGTTCTATTTACAACCGCCTGGTAGGAATCCGGATTTGGCGGCGGCGGTGGCAGTTTTGGAGGAGACTCTGAGCGTCCACGCGGTTGCTTCAACTGCGGTCAAGAAGGCCATCGAAGTTCTGACTGTACGGAGCCAAGAAAGCCACGCGAAGGCGGAAGTGGTACGTCGTACTTTTCCGGATTTTTAATAGCTTGATCCTAAGGCTGCTTTAACTGCGGCCAGGAGGGTCATCGGAGCGCGGAATGCCCTGAGCCAAGGAAGCCGCGCGAGGGCGGTGGAGGTATTTTTTTTATCGGACTGGTATAATGTGATCATAGCTTGCTTCAACTGCGGACAGGAAGGTCACCGTAGCGCCGATTGCCCAGAGCCAAGGAAGCCTCGTGAAGGTTTTTTAATAGCTTTGTACCTAAGTGTTTTGTTTTTAGATGGTGCCCCGCCTCCGAGTGACTATGTGCCCGTCGACACCCCTGACGAAGATCTGTTCCGTCTAAAGATCGATGCCGGTGCTCGCTTCAGTGAAATGTTCGATTCTGAAGTGACCGTTACTGCCAAGGGTCGCGATGTGAACATTCAGCCATACACGTAAGTCGGCATATTTCGATCGACCTGTCTGTATTTGCTTTAGTTCATTCGATGCTCTGCACCTTACGCCGATGGTGAACCAAAATCTTTTGAAGGCCGGATACACCAAGCCGACGCAGATCCAGCAATATGCTATGCCAATCGTCGACCAAAAGCTAGACTTGATGGCTTGCGCTCAAACTGGCTCTGGTAAGGCTTTCAACAAGTCGTTCATCCTCTATAGGAAAAACCGCTGCCTTCCTTCTGCCAATCATCAAGTCGCTAATCGAAAAAAACGACCTGACTCCGCCTGGTGAGGTCGCTGCTCCACGTTGCGTCATTGTCGCGCCCACGCGTGAATTGGCTGTGCAGATCTACAACGAGGCCCGCAAGTTCACTAGCGGCACAATCATGAAGGTCGAATGCGTCTACGGCGGCACGCAAGTCGGATTCGCGAAGGGCCGCATGGCAATGGTTTGGGGCCGCCGAGGTTTCTGAATTTCGTTTAGGGCCCTTCTATCGTCGTTGGCACAATGGGACGTCTGCTACACTTTGTTGAGGCTGGTATTATTTCCCTCGGCGAGGTTCGCTATGCGGTAATCGACGAGGCCGATAGAATGCTGGACTCTGGAAGTTTCCAAGACGACGTGCGCAAGTGAGAAATTTGTAGGATGCTTTTCACTATATTTTAGAATGCTGGGCAACGCCCCGCCGAAGGAGAAACGAACAACGCTAATGTTTTCGGCCACCTTCCCAGAGGAGGTCCAAAATGTCGCCAAAGAAAGCTTGCGTGATGACCATGTGATGCTCGCCGTGGACAAGATCGGTTCGGCCAACAAATGTATCACGCAGGTTTGATCTTGGCGGTGGTGATTACATTTTTTTCAGTCGTTTGTTGAGGTATCTGACAGGTCGGGTAAGCGCGAGAAGCTGCTGGAACTTCTCAATTTCGACATGAAGAAATATGAGTTGGCGCGTGGGTTTTTCGGCAACTTCTTCCCTAACTTTTGTTTAGCCGACAGTGAGGTCTTCAAACAGAAGACTCTGGTCTTCGTTAACCGCAAAAACCTTGCTGATCAGCTTGGCATCTTCTTCTCGGAGCGAGGCCTGCCTTCTACAACAATGCATGGCGATCGTGGTCAGAAAGATCGCAACGAGGCGCTCCACGACTTCAGGATGGGAAGGTGACCGCATTCATCTATTTTTTTTAATCCGGCTTAGAAAGCCCGTTCTGCTAGCGACTGCAGTTGCCGAACGCGGATTGGACATTCAAGGCGTCGATCACGTCATCAACTATGACCTGCCGACTTGTAAGGAGGATTACGTACACAGAATCGGTCGTACTGGACGGTATGCTACTTGTTGTCGGGCTCCAATTAAGGTTTTTAGCGTCGGCAATGCTGGTCGGGCAACTTCATTCTTCGACATGAGCGACAACAATGATCTCAACCTGGCCCCTCACCTCGTGACTTTGCTTGCGGAGGCCAACCAAGTTGTGCCGGACTTCCTGCAGTCGGCTGGCGGCGGCGGTGCTCCATCGTCTGGCGGATTCGGAGTAAGCTTTTTTCCTCAGAAAATATATCTCCTTCTTAGGCTGGCATGTCTGTCCCGACGGCTGGTGGCGACGACGAGGTTTGGTGAAGCAGGCCGCCAGATTTCACCGTAACCCCCATTCATTGTTGTTTGTGGGCAAGTCCCATCGTTAATTTAATTGTTGTTGTTGTTTTGAATAAATTTGGAAAGTTGATGGTGAGGTGGAGTTGCACATGCTGAATTTGAGCTGGCCCGATCGTTGCCTATATCGATTGATACGGAGTAAAACGACCCATTTTTCGTCAGAAACTCTATGCAGCGTTGTATTGACTTTGGCACCACCACGGGCGGGTTCGGTGGCTCGTCCCAGATATCCGAGGCTGATGCGAGGCCGCTAGGGACTGAAGGCGTTGAGGTTGATCCTTTGCAGCATCGTTAGCCCTTTTTAGAGCAACAACAGCACCGGCTTCCATGCCTATCTTGTCAAGCGTGGCAGCCCTAGCACAAAGCCTTCTGATGAAACGGTGTTTTCTTCGCGGTTGGGTGTTTATTGCGATTTTAGGAATCCTCTATCGCGCGCTATGATTCTACAGTATCCCGTGGTACCAGTGGAGGTTTTGCCCGGTCAGCACGTGAACGCGAAATTGAGTCCGACAGCACCCATAGTCGGTTTTTTGATGCACCGGAGGTCAGTTCTGGCGAGTAGTGTCTTGAAAATGTCTGTTTTCTAGCCTCCGGAACGCGTTCAGCGCTTTGGATTTGGATCCTATCGCGGCCGGTACCGTAATCCTAGCGGACGTATTGGCACCCAGCGAGGAAACTCCACAACCCATGGTTTTGTTTTTCTGTGGTAGTTTATTGGCTCGGAATTGCAGAATGTTTTCGATGCGGCCAACAGGGCCATCGAGCGAGCGATTGTTACGAACCGCGCAAGCCGGATATCCCTTGTAGGACTTTAGTTGACCATTAGCATCATCACCAAGGCACCGGTGCACGGTCATCCATTTAACCGCTTCTTTCAGCCTTGTCGCGCCAAGGAACAGCGAAGCTGCTTTGGAAATACCGTGATGCGCCGTCCCACGGGGACAATCGTGAAAGCGGCTATGGCGGCTTCGGCAACGGCGGCTTCGGTCGCCCGGTTAAACCATGCTATCCGAAACAAGGCTACAATCCGCCGAAATCCAAAAGTATGTATATTTTGCTCTTTTAGCTCTCACTGATCGTTGTGTTGGGAACGCATCATCATCAATATTTTTTAGGAACTGATGACGGGATCACGTCAGAACGGCCGTTCGTGCCTGATACGGTCAGCCTGGACGATCTTTTCAACCGCCTCAAGATCGAACCTGGGATCCGTTTCAAGGAATTTTTTGATTCTGAGGTGAAGATGACGTCGAAAGGACGGAACATCAAAGTGATTCCATACAGGTTTGTTTTATTTGAAGTCAAACGCTTTTTAGTTCTTTTGATGAACTTGGGCTGCCTAAATCCGTGATGGCGAACATCACGCGGGCGAAATACACGAAGCCTACCCCCGTCCAGCAATATTCAATGGCTGTGATTGCGAAGGGACATGACTTGATGGCTTGTTCACAGACAGGATCGGGTGCGTGGGCGGTTGGGCTTATTGGGTTGTTGAGTTGTCCTTTTTGATGGGCGTTACAATAGCATTAAATTTAGGTAAAACCGCTGCTTTCCTGTTGCCGATTATCAAGTCGTTGATTGAGAAGCTTGATATCGCACCACCCGGGGAGATCGCCTACCCTCGTTGCGTGATCTTGGCTCCCACGCGCGAGTTGGCCGATCAGCTGTTCAACGAAGTCCGAAAATTCACGGTCAAGACTCCGCTACGCTTGGAACGGATTTACGGCGGGACGCAGACGAACTACTTTGCTGATAAAGTCAAAGTGGTACGGTGTCATTTGTCAGCTATTCTCGAGGGGCCACGCCACATTTCCCCTAAGCAACTTCGGAATTGACGAGCTCTTTACAGGGTCCAACTATCATTGTCTGCACACTCGGTCGACTGCTTGAATTTTTGCGACTCAATTATGTGTCGCTGGATGAGTTGCGTTTTCTCGTCATTGATGAGGCAGACAAAATGCTTGATCAGCGAGGCTTCCATCTGGAAGTGGAGAGGTGGATGATACCTTCTTTTTTTACTTGTTTAGGCTGTTGAAAATGGCGCCACCCAAACAGACGCGCACAAACCTGATGTTCTCTGCCACTTTCCCGGACGAGGTGCAGAGGGTGGCAAAACTCTGTCTCAGAGCGGAGCACGTTGAGCTGGCCGTAGATAAAATCGGTTCGGCCAACAAATGTATTAAACAGGTTGGTGCTTTGTTTTCCGATTATTGTTTTTTTTTCAGATAATTGTGGACATCCCGACAAGTAAGAAACTAGTCATGCTTCGCGGTCTACTCCTTCAAGACCAGGCAATGCCACCTGAAGGTACGATCACGGGCGCTTACAATTATTTTTTAGGTGGAGGCGATTCCATTCGTAGGACGTTGATTTTTGTTAACACCAAGACGATGGCGAAGAAATTGGCAACGTTGTTATCTGACGATGGCTTCACTGTCGGCTCCCTCCATGCCGATATTTCTCAACGTTGCCGGCATACCACAATCAACGCTTTTAGAAGCGGAAAGTAAGAGAATGTACCTTTCAAAATTTCACCATAATATTATCCAGGGTGCCGATTCTAATTGCGACAGGAGTCGCCGAGCGTGGGCTGGATATTAGGGGCGTCGACCATGTTGTCAACTATGAGCTGCCTTCCGGTCCGGCTGTCACTGCAACCGCAACTTATGTGCAGCGAATTGGACGGACTGGACGGTATGTACCAGTTACATATTAGACGCAATCTTTGTTCAGTGTTGGCAACAATGGCCTGGCCACTTCGTTCTTCGACAAAGCCACTGATATCAGCATTGTCGATGACCTGATCCAGGTGCTCGTCGAAGCACAGCAAGTTGTCCCGGATTTTCTGGCCCGACTGAAGCGCGGAGTGCGCCCATTTGGAGTTGGCTTCGCCACTTTTGGTCGAATAGTTTGTTTAGGGATTTTACCGCAGTGCAGCGACTGAAGAGACTGATGAGGAGCTCTGGTGATCACTTTTCCAGTTCTCGTAACCCCTTTGTTTGCTGCACTTCTCGCTATTTACTCGTTGTTATATTCAAAGAATAAAAATGTTGAATTACGTGTGTATTGAGATTGGTTTTTGTACGAGAAGCTGTATTATTCTATCGACTCGTCTAGACACGGGACAAGCATCCCTTTGAAACCCAGAAATGGCAAATCATGTCAATAGGCGGATCGGTAAACGCACTGCGTGATTGTATTGGTGGATGATAGGGGTGGTGGAAATGCAGGGCGGTTGGGTGTAGAGATTGTGTTATGAGATGGGGCTATGAAACAGTCGAGGGGAGTTGCGTAGGGGGAATTATGTCACCGGAAATTCCAAGAATTTGCCAAACTGAATTGTTTTGGCCGCGAAAAAATGAAATGGAATGCGTTAACATCACAAGTAGGAGCAGCAGGGAATAAACATGATCTATGAACTGATAAATGGCTATCACAGTTGGTTATAACAAGTTTAAAAGGTTAAGAGGATTCAGGTGAAAGGGTGTTAGAGGCTGTGCGCGCAGCAGCTAATTCGATAATGGCATCGGTGGTCAATATGTACAACAGGTGACCCGTAAATAATAGCATTTGTTGACTCGAAGAACTCAGTCGTCCGTTTCTTTTGATCGTTGTGTTGCATGGGCCGACTTCCGCTTGATACGGTCAACGATGAGAGATAGGCGGTCAATTCCCTAAAATAGTGGTGGGTTAAGTAAGTGCTTTTATCCTCTTCCAAACTCTAATTTAAGTTTACTTACCCTTTTCTTCAAGTTTTCCTTGTCGATGGCAGACTCGCCCCTTTCGAAAACGTTTTTATTTGGAGTTTGCGATGAGCAGGAGGCTGGCGATGGAGACCCAATGCACAGTTTGGCGTTTGGTGAAAGTAAAAACGGCTGAAATTATCTCAATTTGATTGCTGATGTTTCTATATCACCTGTAGCGTCCTTTTGATTTCTCGTTTCTTCCCGTAGGTCTGGAAGACATATGGCTGCTGATTAACGAAGTAGTGCTCGTTCTCAGCCAGCTTCTTGATCATGCGCGCCTTCTCGTGTAGTCCATACTCGCAAAACAACAGATCCTTGGACTGTAAATTCCATTAGATTAGTATCAGTGCTATTTGGACGTACGTATAATTTGGGGATGATGGGCCGTCCTTTGCACCATGTTTTCGCAGATAGGACCGCGCACCGACCAGCAATCGAATCCAGCGGTAACGTATCGTACATTTTCACGCAGCACAGCACCTGGCAAAAACTAGTGGACGGCCGTCAACAAGAAACATACCTCATTTGGATGGAAAGACTTGTTCGGGTCTCGGAAAGTCTCGTGCGGTCTGGCGTAGTATAGTCCAAAGACCCAACTGAAGGAGTTTCCTATTATTTCTGTGCAATTTTTGCATGCCTACCGTTGTCCATCTGCTGTTACGAACAGCCTTTCCACACGCATAATGCCAACGTTTTTTCGGGAAAACAGACGTGGCGCTAGGGTGTCGGTTCTAAATAACGGTTTGGATTTCAAGAAGAATAGAACATACGTTTTCTTCTGTTTCTTCAGCTTTCGCTTTTCAGTGGCTGCCGTTTCGGAGACTTCAATGGCCTTCTTGAGGGCTTTTTTATGCTCTTCGCCGGAGAACTTTTCAACGTATATCGTTTCGTTCAGCCGCACCTGAGAGGAATTAGTCGTTTCACTCGAAAATATTTATTGATCACCTGCAGACCGTAGCTGTTCACCAGCGCTTTGTAATATTCACATCCTTTGTAGCTGTAGTCAGGTCGATGCTGAAAATCGAATTTCCGAATTATTTTGGACCACGGTACCTTCAGCAGAACGTCTGTTGATGGTCGATTTGACGGGATCTTGCCCGAGCAGAAGTCGCATAGATATTCATCCGGCGCTTCGACCGAGTTCAACCCGACGCAATCGTTGTGAAGCCAGTAGTGACAACCATCACACTAAAAATAATGCTTTTACACTGCTATACGAAAAGGGCCTACCTGTAGCATTTCACCATCTTCTTCCAAAGCCCCGCAAATACAGCGTACAGCCTCATCACTTTCGTTTGCCTTCCCGGTCGGCCAGGCTTCATCCGGATCATAGCTGCCGATCGGCTTCTCGTCGTCCAGATAGCTGAGATCCACGCCGGCCAGGCTTTTCCGCCGCGGCTTCTCCTCTTCCTCCTCCCGCTTCCGCTTCTCGTCTTTTCGATCGGCCTTCTCCTCGTCGCGTTCCCGTTTGCGGTTGAGGTAGCGGAAGGAGAGGGTGCGGAACAGTTGTTCGCAGCCGATCGACTGGGCGAAACGCTCGGTTTCTTTGGCAAAGGCAGAGGAGCAGCGGATGCGTAGCGCGCGACGGCAGAGCATATAATTGGCCATGTAGCGTCGAGCCATCGAACCGTCGGGATGTCGAGCCCTTCTTGCAATTAGGCGAAGTACCTAGAGAAGAGGATTTTCTTTACAAAATCCTACTATATATAAAAAAATAGTGTTTGTGTGTGTGTGTGTGCATTTGCATGCAACTTCCGTCACCGTGTCAGTAGTATCTCAGAGGGAGTACTTAGGGGTATGTTCGATAGTCATTGGTGCGTAATGGCCTGGAGATGATGCAAATATCAGATTTTACAAATAATGATGTTTTCGACATAAAATTAAGTTTCTGGAAATCGGACCGCCAATTTTAGGATCAAATGCATGCACCGGAAGTCGGGTAGCCTATATGGGACGGCGAGCTTTTTTCGTCATCCGAATCCGGGAAATATGCAAGCCAGATTATTGGAGGCGGGGGGTTGAAGCGCGCTTCCATAGTAATAATTTCGAAACGGATAATGTCGCATTTTCATTGGGTCGACATTTTTGATTTAGGGATTTTCCGGTCTGTTAAACTTCGATACATTAAAATGTCGATATACCGAATTGTTAAATTCTACTTTTCGACATAGCAATTTCGAAATTAGGAATTGCGGCCTTCGATGGCAAATCGGCTTATGGTATCAAGGTATTCTGGACATTATTGCGTTAAAAACTAACATGTCGCATTGACTGCAGCGATCCTTTCCCACCAATCTTCTCCGGGGCCATCAAACGAACGGGGGCTAAGAAAAACGTTTGTTTCAATTAAAAATAACTTACCACTATCCCGAGCGTGCTGGTCGCCGTACGAGTTTGTATTTCTGGGCACGAGCAACTTTAGAGCACGGGCTTTACGCTTCTCCTAGGAAGAAATATCAAAATCGTTGAGACAAGCTAACCTCCTCGGTCATTGTGATGAGTTGTGCGAGACAGGCGACGCGAGCCCCGGCCACCACTTTTGAGCGCTTCTGGGAGCGGCACTCGGCGCAGTGACACCGGAAATCGTCGGGATGTCTTCGGGCCATCGAGATCTTGAAAAAACCCATGTTAGAAACTAGTGGCAATTTCTTACCGTAATTTCCTCATTCGGTTCGATGTGGCGGGTGGTGTAGATTCCGGCTTTTAGTCTACCGCCGACAAGCCTGTAAGTAATGTATTTAGTAGGTCCTTCTTTTGTTTTTAAGCAACCATAATTTAGACGTACCATATCTGACTCTCGGCATTCGGATTGCAAGAATGGGTGACGAAGCGCCCAATATTGCCCTTCTCGGTGGCGTCGACGAAAATCCGTGAAGCCAGCGCCATCGCGCGCACCATTCTACGGCCGTACCGCTCGCGCGTCCGCTTCTGCATCTCGTGCACGTCGATCACCTCTCCAGCAAACTCGCACTAAAAATGTCGAATTTTCCTGATATAGCAAAACTCACCAAGAACGTCTTGGGCTCGAGCTTTGCATGTGAGTAGAGGCCGAGGCGCTGCTCGCGCGGCTCCTTCTCGGGGCCTTTCCCCCGTTTTCCAACATATAGCGAGGGGTTTTGTGGTGGGAATGCCTTGTTGTGGCACGTCTCAGCCGTACACTTTTGTGTACATTTGATGCGAATCATGCGGTAGAGACAATTCTCGCCACAGACCCGTTTGCACCCACATGGGGCTGGGGGTGGGGGGTGGATCCAGCCGGGGGGTCGCGTTGAGCCGAGGGCCAAGCCTGAAAGGAAAGGTTTTGCAAAAAATCCGGCTCTAGTTCGTTAGCGGGGGGGTGATTTTAACGTGGGGACAACCGAACTTACTTTATTCAGCCTAACCTCTATATTAACAACACGTAACTTGTTTTATAAATTTCCAGCGACTAAAAAGTCAGAACAAATGTATTTATTTGACCAAGTTTTGGTCAAAACTCAACATTTTTCGAAGATTCTAATAATTATTTTTTAGGGTTAAAACGGCGTAAAGACTTTTCTATTTCGCGCCTACGGAAAGATAGAAAAATTAGGTACCCCCGCTAACGAAGCAGTACCAAGAAAAAAATTTAAAAATTAAAAATAAAAACAAAAACGTACTGGTTTGCATTTCTTCAAAATCATCCGGCTCGACGGGCTTCACCTTCGGCTTTCTGGCGGTGGGCTTTGGCTCGGGCTGGGGTGAGGGGCTAAAAAAGATCGTTGGAAAGCCTAGTTTTTACAGTAACCTTGGATTCGTCGGCTTTTTCTGGACGGGCTTCGGCAGCTTGATATAACCTCTTGATCGTTCCACGCCGCGAGGGGCAGGAGAATGACGAACTGGCGTATCTTCTTTTAACGCCGAGGGTTGTGGGGTTTCTTTTCTGAAATTCGCAATGTAAGTTATGAAATTTTTTGTTTAAAATGAGATCACCAAGCTAATTAATTCGTATTAAAGTGCATACTTGATGGAACGCTCTCGCATCTTCATTTTTGGCGCCGGCGGCTCCTCCTTGATCAAATCCCAGGCGATTCGCAGGGGGAATTTCGGGGTTGGGGCCCGTTTGTGGCTCCTGAAAGGGTTGTTCTTGAGGTTTTATATTTTTATGGAGTCCAGAGTTTTAAAAGTAGTTTCTTATCACTATTATTGTTACAATCATTTTTAGCTCTCCTAAAAATTTCCCAATTGAAATTTCTTTTAAGTAACCTCTTTTCAGCCGATTTTAGTCTTTGTCTTTTAAAAAAAGGCCATTTCTTATAACCAGGATCAAAAACCAAATTAAACCGACTTTGCAGAGATGCGCATCGCGGCCAGCTGATCGATCGACTGCGCGACGAGCTGGTCAATATGCTGCCTCAATTGACGACGAGCAGCTTCTCGATATGCGAAGACACAAGGCGGCACTTCTACCGGCTCGGGCTCGGGCTCCTCGTCGTGCGCGCCGCTATTCGACGACTCGGCCGGCGAGGCGTCATCTGGGGTCTTGCTCGTCGATGGTTGTTGCAGGGGATCATGAGCTTCTTCGGGGGTCTCTTCCACTTTCCGGCGTCCGCGCTGTGGCCGTGCGGGTGGGAGGCGCTTGTTCTGCAATGGAAAGATTGTTTTGCTGGTTTATTTTATTCACTAGTGATACTACTTATTTTTTATATTTTCGCGATTTTCGGGATTTTTTCAGATAGGATATAGCATGAAAATATATATTGAAAGTTATATAGCTCAAAATCTGAATTTGCTTTTTCGTCATTATGTCCAAAAATTCAATAATTTACCTTTCCCTTCGGGTGTTTGCCGTTTTTAATCGCAACTTTCGTGTTTGACCGCTCCGGCTCCTCCTCGGCCTGAAAATGAGAATTTCCTCTTTTCATTTTCGTTAATTCTCCCTAAACGCGCCGATAAATCCAAAATCAAACCTTTTGGCGGCCTTCCTCCTCGCTGCGCTTCAATTCCTCGGAGGCCGAGCTCTCGGGCCGCTGTTTTCGTTGATTGCCATCGTCATTGACAGAGCTACCCCGAGATTCAGAGCGTAAGCGTTCCTAAAAAATGGAATCTTTTGGAATAGTAAAAACTACCTTTGTCACGCCTTCTTTTGCTTTTAGTCGCATCAGATCCGTGATTCGTTTGATTTGTTCGGCGTCCATATTCTAAAGGAAATTTTTGGTGGATAATTATCTAAATACAGTGTTGTTTTTTTACTACACCTAGACGCTAGAACCTTACAAATTTTGTTTAAAAAAATCCAAAAAATATAGATTTTTCAACAAAGTTCCACCTAAAAATTTGTTCTTGTTTTCTTTCTATTGTTGTGCACTTAAAATCAAGTCAACATTTCTTAAAAAAAAAAACACTATGAAAACGCTTACTATTGCATTACTGGGAATTTATGGTCTTTAGAATTTAGGAAAAAGTTCGTAATCCCGATAAAGCGCAAGAACCAAGCTTTCTTTAATAAATAAAACGCACACTAGCCAATATTTCAGCGATTGTGTTGGGGTCCATGCCGGGCGAGATGTTGATCGAGGGCACCGGTGGCTGCTCACATTCTGAACCATGGGCCGATGAATCCACGGATTCTTCAACAACGACGCGTGAAGGGCCCGGCTCGGCGAGTGGTGGCTCTTCCAGGGAGGTTGAGGGCTGCAAAGAAAACGATTGTTACTATTATTTAAAAATACAACTTGTTCTTTGATCCTAAAAAGCGCATCACCTACCATAACCCTCAGCTCCCGCAAATCAATATGATAGTGAATGCAATGCGGTATGGACAGATATTACAGGCCATATTCCCTCGAGGGCCACAACGGGGGGATGGGCCTTTTAATTGGGCCACAGGGCCCCCTCGATCTATCTAACCGGTAGATGGCTGGGAGAGGTGGCCTAGCAACCGGAGGAGGGCAATACCGCTGTGTGGGCGGGCCCTTTCGAGCAGCACAAAAAGACAGGGTCAGAAATAGAAAGAAAGAGTACAACAAGAATAGTTATTGTTGGTTTTTAGTTTTTATTTTTTGCTTTTCCTTGGAATCCAATTTTTAGAATGTAAATGAAAGTGTTTCTAAACGGTTTTTTTACTATTCCGAAACTTAAAACTTTGCAAATTCTAATGAAAGGCAAAAATAGCAATTTTACCAAAATTTGAGAGGATGTGAGAAGATTTCGGGTTCATCCCCTTTTCCACGCGAAATATAGCTAAATTTTATCAAAAACAATAAAAAAATTAATGCTAGGGAGATTTTGCTAAAGAAACGGCTTCAAAACTCACCGGAACTTCCGGCTCCTGATCGGCTGGGAGCAGCTTTGGCATATCGGCAAAATCAGCCTCATCGTACGGATCCTCGGTACTGCTCAGGCTCTCTTGCAGATCCTGCAAAAAGGATAAGTTGGTGTTTTCTTTTAGCGGGGGGGGCAATTTTTCTCAGCAACCCGGCACAATACAAACTGTCATAACTGAGTGGGTCGGGCTCTATGCCAGAGACACACACCAGTTACGATCTTCCCATGTTGGGGCTGTTACTACTCTTCTAGTTAGGAACCCTAATCCTAACTTAACTGGCTCCGCGCCATAGGTTGTTCTATGAGATGTCCCAGATACGAACTATGACTAAGGATGCGAATTTGTGACGTTGACACTCTTTTGACTAAAGGGGGAAACTCATGAGAAGGTCTTAATGTATAACGTGTATTTGTTACCCACGGACTTGTTATGAGGGGTTTATTAGACTGTCATATAACAACTGGGGACGGGATAGAGACCGAGAAAGGAAGTCGGCCGGCGCGGATACAGACCCTAACAATTATGATTCCTAGAATTTATAAAGCATCAAAAAGGGACGGAATCCCGTCGGCCCGAGAGGGCCTCCGGTCTCCCGTGGGACTTCGAGTTAGCTGAGCTTAGGGAAGGGTTCAGGGTTTGGGGATCGACTGACTGATTTCGGGAATCGAGGGGATGACCCGCTTGGGGGGCAGGGCAGATAATGGTGCCGCAGGCACCATTAAGCGTATATACTACAACCGTTAAGAGTATCTACTACATGTCCCTGGCCCAACTAAGTTGCGTCCCGCAACTTTAAGAAGCTGGGGGTGAGGGTAAGATAACAAACGATGGGGATCAAGAGGTAAAAAACGAAAATGGTGAAGTCAGATGGTGTGAGGGGAGGGCTACCCAGTCCAATGGTTTGAGAATTAGACGGTAGATATAGACACGGATCTGAATCCGACACTCCAACTCCCTACCAAACCGTGCACAAAACTGAGGGCGGAGCCGGCTGCGGTTTGGACGTACGCCCGGAGTACGGTGCGCTACGTAGGTGCTCAGTGGGAGTGTTTCGAAGTGGTGTCAATCTTGGCCAGTCAATTTCACCACCAATAATGAAGTAAGGGCCCTGTGTGTACCGATTAAGGCAACAGTGGAGTAAGAGATAGAAAAGAAAATAGGGAAAACCATGTGTACAGTAGTAGGGATTTGATAGGGGCGTTGCTGAATCATAGGTGGGAATTATTCGGTTAGCGGCTTTTTTTGTCCTGTGGCGAAAGCATGGCTCATCTCATGGGGTGTGGCAGGAGGAACATGGCTCATCTCATCGGGTGGGGCAGGAGAACATTGCTCATCTGGTTGTCGGGTACGCCGTCGGGAAGTAGTCGTGTAGGTTTAATCTGTCATGCTAAGAGGATCTGCAAAATGAGGAATTGCCAGTTTGTATTTCCTCTAGCTGGTCTGTAGGGTTTGTCTGTTTCGCATAATTTAGGAAAAATTTGGTTGGATTTAGTTTGAAAAAAATGATGTGTGTTGATTGTTATATTGTGGGTTGAATTGGTATGTTGGAGTGTTGAAGCTGTTGTATTGTTGTTGTTGTTGTTGTTTGTTACGATACTGCTGATGTGCCGGGTAGTGGTTGTGGTAACTGTTGTATTGTTGCTGTGGCTGGTCATAACGTTGATTTGGTGGATGCGGATTGTTGTAGTTGTGGTTTTGGTAGTTTTGACTGTATTGGTCGTCATCTTCGTAGTCAAAGTCATTCTGGTTGTTTTGACTGTTCCATGCAGGTTCCCTTTGTTGCACGGTCGGTTCGATTGAAATACTTGCTATGAGTTCTTCAATGCCTTGCTCCTGTGCTTTTTCTTCTTTCTTCGTCTTTGCTTTGACTTCAGCCTTTTTTGCAGCTTCGAAAAGTTGTACAGTGTTCAGCCTTTGGAACTGTAGTTTTCCAAGGGCTTTCGAGATTTCCGGCCATGTTCGTTCAAGCAGTGCATTGCGTAGCTCACTGTCTAGTGTGTCCGGATTGAGTAGCTCCGCGTTCTGTTTGATATGCACGATAAACTCGGCGAGACTTTCGTTTGGTCCTTGTCGGCGGAGGTGGAGTGCTTTTTGTAGATCGAGTCCCACTTTTGAGGTATTGAAAACAGAGGATAGTGTCCTTATTATCTCTGCATAATTGTCCCGTGTTTCCTGGTCCATAAGTTGATGAAATGCTTTGGCTTCTCCGCGGAGTAGTAGAGGAAAGCCTTTTTTGACGGCGGCAATGGAGATTCCCATTGTAATAGCTGTGTCGAACAGTCTTCTTAGGAACGTAGTCAGCGGCTCGTGTGTCCACTGTATGTAATATTGAGGCCGACCAGATCTCGTACTTCTCGCCGGATTTCTTTTGGGGATCTTTCGTCCTCCATGTCTTCACGTCTTGGTCTTGCGTTGAGAGCCACGTTGGAGATTTTTTCCGGAAGAGAGCTGGTGGTACAATGTTTGTGTTTGTGTAAGGCTGGATTGTTTGGAGATTTAATCCAATTTACCCAGCTAGTTTGGGGAATAAGCAAAAAAAATAGAAGTGACCGTAAATAAAATACAAACGCGCTGGCTTAGCTACTTTTCCAGAACTCAAGGGTTGGAAAGTACGAATTTAAAGGCTACGCTTATGAAAAAAATGCGTCTTCTCCTTGCTTTGCGCTGCTCGGAGGATAATCTGGAGGGCTAGCGATGCGACACTAGCCTAAATGCGGCGAACTGAATACAGATTTAGGCGAACGAAAATTTGGGATAAAGCGCGATGAACGAAATAAAATTTGCGTTATAGGTACAAGCGCAAGAACAAAAAGCTAAGCCCCTTTGTCTCTGAAACGCCGGGGTCAAAACTTTCTCCCTTTAAACCGGCCTGATCCAGAAGTTGACTGTTGTCGGTGGCGCGGCAGTTGACGGAATATCTCGGTGCGTTGGGCAGTTGAGCTGAACTGAGGTTCTAGCCGTTGGCCGACGGCAGATCCTCTTCGTGGGGTGGTGACGGTAGGTCAAGTTTAAGCGCCAACTATGCTTTTGGGTAATGCAATGCCCTCTGGGCACATTTAGTGCTTAAACTAGGTCACAGATCAGCATATCCCCGCTCATTTCGCGCCGCGGCATTGGCAGATGGCCAAGTTTGGGAATTATCGAGGCGTCCCCCTAAATTCTTAACCCGAGGCATTGTCCTAGTTCTGCTAGCCAGAGATCGGGCGGGAGTTTGGGAGTGTTCTTGGTCTTTGGACTTGACTTGGGCTTACAAAAATTCAAAACAATATGCGCGCGAATTTATTGGATAGAATACATTAAGTGGAATTAGTGAATATGGGGATTGTATCAATTTATGGGGAACGAAAAAAATGAAATTAAGATGGTAAATAAAATTGGAGGGTATTTCTAGGTGGTTTCCTTTCTGATCCGGTAGGCCTAACCATGGGGTAGTCGAAGGAGCTCAAGTTTTAGAGGGAAAGTGCGGCATTCCAAGCCTGCGTGAATTCTACGGTCGAAAGGAGCTCAGTAAAGTCATTTACCTTACACTAGAGTTAATTCGAACCGCCTTGGAAGGACGGCGACCCTATGTAGGTAAGCCGGCAAAAGCCGTTGTCTTGAACACCAGTCTCAACAATTTGTTGGACAACCTATATCTGGTGTTAGTGCCTTCTCGAAAACAATTAATGAATGAATAAACGAGTGAAGCAGGACCGGATACGCTACGTCCTGCCTGTGTCCCTTAAATTAACGTAAATACGACGACTCCCCGGCCTTCGTGGCGTTTCCCAAAAATGGAGCGGTCAACTCCCTTAAAAGCAGACTCCGTCAATGACCGGTTTATAAACTACGCAGCGATTTGAGACTAACGTAGCCGAGTGTTTTCCTATTGTAACTTAAAATGCTGATGTGGCTAACATCAGTCGGAGTCTGCGGCAGGCCTGCCTTATCGTAATTAATTAAAACCACTTCCGGATCCTAAAAATGGGGAATAGGTAGGGTAAGAGCAGTAACAGAAATTTTTTATATTTTAAATTTATTGGGTGTAAACGCTAGTTGATAGCGTCAGCGCTTGGAGGCAGCGCAGGCTGAACCCAGAGACTAAGAGTCAAAAGCCGGGACCTCCATTGTCATAACTGAGTGGGTCGGGCTCTATGCCAGAGACACACACCAGTTACGATCTTCCCATGTTGGGGCTGTTACTACTCTTCTAGTTAGGAACCCTAATCCTAACTTAACTGGCTCCGCGCCATAGGTTGTTCTATGAGATGTCCCAGATACGAACTATGACTAAGGATGCGAATTTGTGACGTTGACACTCTTTTGACTAAAGGGGGAAACTCATGAGAAGGTCTTAATGTATAACGTGTATTTGTTACCCACGGACTTGTTATGAGGGGTTTATTAGACTGTCATATAACAACTGGGGACGGGATAGAGACCGAGAAAGGAAGTCGGCCGGCGCGGATACAGACCCTAACAATTATGATTCCTAGAATTTATAAAGCATCAAAAAGGGACGGAATCCCGTCGGCCCGAGAGGGCCTCCGGTCTCCCGTGGGACTTCGAGTTAGCTGAGCTTAGGGAAGGGTTCAGGGTTTGGGGATCGACTGACTGATTTCGGGAATCGAGGGGATGACCCGCTTGGGGGGCAGGGCAGATAATGGTGCCGCAGGCACCATTAAGCGTATATACTACAACCATTAAGAGTATCTACTACAAAACCATCTAGCGAAATATTTTACGAATAAGATTTTTATACTGTTTTTATCCATAAAAAGTTCACAAAAATTATAACTAACTTATAAAAATCTACTTACAACATTTGGCGGGGAAAGGACTTCGGCATTTGGGGTGCCGGGGACGGATTGAATGCCCGAATCGGGGGTCGTCGACGAGTCCGAGCCGCCCTGCATCGGCTGCCCGTTCCATTGCATCGGGCGGGGCCGTATTTGCAAGTTCTGCAAAGCAAAAGCGTTTTGAGAAACTTTTTATTGCCCTTAATAAACATATTTAGCATTAGAGACATAAAAACATGTTTAGAAAATTAAGTTTGTCAAATTTTTGCCGTTTTTCACACATTTATAACCAAAATTCATAATTTCTTGCAAAAATTTTATCATTTTTGTTGAGGTTATTCTATTTCAAAACAGTGCCGCAAGAATCCTTTAGCAATGGCTTATTTTTTGCCCTCTGACTGTATCGATGAGCGTTGAAAAATGGAGTTTCCCCTGCTAAACGGAAAGCACTTTTTCATGTTTAAAAAAGTATCCTTAAAAAGTATGATATAAAAGAAATTGTCTGCCACTAACCTGGGTGTATGTAGCTGTGTTTTTTGCCAAAAACCCGAGCGGTGATAGCGGCGAGCCCTCGGCGCGTGGCTGCAAGGAACACATTTTTTGGGTGAGGGACCGCGGGGGTCGCCCGGGTTACGTGCCCCCCAGGGGAATCCGGTTTTCCGGATTTCGGTAATGAAAATAGGGACAAATCGAGGGCTGCAAAATTGACACCCACCTGCATGATTTGTGATGGCGCCTGGGTTGTGGTCGGATGCGACGAGGCGGCGGCGACGACGCGAAGATGTCCGGATGAGGGCGTCGGCTTGAGGATGAGGTTGCCGGCCTTGATCACGTCACCGCTGCAACTGGCCGGCCCGTCGTACAATTTCATCAGACGCTGAAATGGTTAGGAGGTAAATTCACGTAAGAATTTGGTTAGCGGTGAATCCCCAAATCCTGAAATACCCAAACCTCCCAAAAAAACCCCGGAGAACCCAGCATTCTCAAAAGTGTTCAGCGGTGCTTTGGCATTATCGGGGGAGCAAGTTTTCTTAGCAAAAATTTCTAAAATAAATAAAGCAGTTATTTTTACACTATTTTTTCAAATCCTGAAATAAAATTTTCACAAATTTCGATTGAAAAAATGCAAAAACCGCTTTTGGGGTTAAAATCCCATTTTTTTTCAATTTCCTTATCGTTTTTAGATTGGTTTCCCATTTGCGATATGGTAAAATCGTCTAAAAACTATCAAAATATGTGATATTACGTGACTAAACGCTTGCACGTATAGGGGTAACTTTGCACCCTCCGATAATGTAAAAGAACCTAAGAACCTCCCCCAACCCCGGTGGCTTACTTGGGCCCCGCGATTCTGACGGTAATCTAACCCTTTTGAGGTTTGGCAAGTTGCCAATTCCTGAAAATGAGCCAAGAGAACCCTTTTGTTCAAGCCATGCAGACAAACCTGTGGTAACTTGTCGCCGCCCTTGATGCGATAGGTTTGGCGTGGGATGGTTTGAGCCGTGCGGTCTCCTGAAAAAAAAATAATAGATAGCGATTACCTTGAAAAATATGCTACGTATACGAGAGATGCGGACGTAAATAGGCGCTTGCGTAGTACGCGGCTGAGAGGCAGAAGAAGTGTTACATACCTGCTGTTGTATAGGGTACAAGCCGTATCTGGGATCGCGGCGTCCCAGCCCCATTCGACTGCATTTGGGTTGATGTTGAGGCGGATGGGGTGGAGGTGGGCGGCTGGGTCGAGGAGGTTGAGGCACTCTAGAGGAATAATTTGTATAAGAAACGTAAAAAGCGTACTCATTTAACAATAGTAAAAATTACTTTAAAAAGAAAAATAAAAAGCTTAATAGCATGAGGTATAATTGGTACCGTGGTTGGTGATGGCCCGCCAGGGGCTGGTCGTATAATCATATTAATCCGTGGCCCGTCTTGAGTCGCTGGTTTTGTCTGGATGAGGAAACCCTCGCGACTCATCGGCTCGAGCTTACTCGCGCATCATTCGCTGTGATTCACTGAAAAAAATGACGGATATACAGTATGATTTTGAACTTCAGAAGCATGAAAAACAATAATTTTTTGAAGAATTACATTGTTTTTAGATTAAAACACAGAAAAGCCTGAAGAAAAAGAAGATTCCTCTATTAGTGTAGCAACTTGCCAGCAAGCCATATGAGCCAATGAAAAGCCAAGCATTTTCGAGTCTGAACAGAAGAATGGTATACGGGATTAAACAACATTTTGAATTTAAGAAATTTCAAAACATCGAAAGATTAAACGTTAATGTTCTTTTGAATGAAAACAGTAGAAAACAATGAAGAAGAGGAGAAATCCTATTAATGTAGCAATCATCCGACGGACCAAATCAATGACGAAAAGCCAGAAAAAATATTGTGAAATTTTCTAGTTTGAAATCAAAATCCCACGACTTTTAATGGTGCAAGACTTTTTTGGTTATATGGATCGAATTAATCAACTAAAATGCCTATTAAACGAGAATTAGTATTCGTAAATCTCAAGCCATATAAGGCAACGAAAGGTAAAAAACGTTATGACATTTTGTAGTTTGAATTCAAAACCCCAAGGCGTTTCCGTTGTGCAGGACTTTTTGGGTTATATCGATCGAATTAATCCAGAAAAACGTCTATTAAAAGAACAATTAGCATTGGGATAATCGTCGACGTCATCGGCCCAAATGAGGCCCGAGGTTATATGCTCATGTGACAGAGGGTAGGTTGGAAAGGAGGAGGGAGAAAAGCGGGGAGCAGCCATCGGAGGGAACACGCGCGGATGGATGAATGGATGGATACCCCCCACCCATCCCCACATCCAATGAAAATCCCCTTTCGAAACGGCTATTAATCAAGTGCATTGGGTTGGGCATGACAATCGGAGAATGTCTAATTTTTAGCGTTGAATAACTTTACATTTTTTTTTAACTTTTCAAAAACCTAGAAACCAAAATTTCCCCAAAACGGCAAAAATAAATGTCAAATGGAAAAGGAATAAAAAAACGAGGAAAATGTTTAAATTTTGGTCAAATAAATGACCATTTTGCCCGAATAAACAAACCATTTTTGTATTTTTTTTATCAAAACTTTAAATTTTTTACGTTTAGGAATAGTAAAAAAACAGTTGAGAAAGATTTTTTGTAAAAAGTTGAGAACGGAACAACCGTTTTTTTTCAATATTAAGCTTTCATAAATTTCTAAAGAAGCGCCTATAAGCTCAAAAGTTTAGCATGAGGTAAAACCTTCCTTCTAAAACTGAAACGAAGACGCACGAAAATGATTCAAAATTAATTAAACCGAATTTCCACTCAAAGACCTATTTTTAGCCCGTAGCCCCTAAAATTTGACAGGTTGGCAGGTGGTTGTTGGAGAGGAATAGCGCAGGGGGAACGGCCAAGAAAGCTACAGGGGATTAGGCGTCATTATGGAATCCCGAGTCAGGATTCTTGCTGCTGGATGGGGGAGAGGCGCTAATTTTATTCGTAAAATATTATCAGAAATAGCTTTTTGATCTCGCAAACACTGTAAAACGTGTTTTAAAATCCGGAAATTGGGGAGTAGAAAGCGTTTCCAAGTGAAATTTCTACGTTTCTAAAGTCTTTCAAATGTGGATTTGAAAGTTTTTTTACCAGGAAATCATCAAAAAATCAACAAAAAGTTCCATGCTTTCAAAGAAAAGTTGTTAATACCTAGGGCCGAAAAACACGTAACTGGATTAAATATCACAAATTTTGCAGATTTTAAAGAGCTGAAAGTTTTTTAGCTTTTCTGCAACGAAAACATTAAGAACTTATGAAGATAAAAGTTTCATGCTTTATAAAAGTTGTTAACAGCTAGCCAAAAGCCTAAAAAGGCATTAAATAGATAAAATATAGAAATTTGGCGGATTTTCAAGGACTTTCCTATTTAAAAAACAAAAAATACCAAAACATCAAGAGAAAAAAAAGTTTCACGCTTTGTCAAACTTCGGCAAAACACATTTGAAAACCTAAAAAGATGTGAAACCGTAAGCAAAACCTAAAACACCTCCATATTCCGGTAATACGAGCCCCCAGCTGTTGTTTAGTAAACAACCCCCCTGCAACAAAGGGTTGCAAAACGAGCCCCCTAATCACAGCCGGAACCCCCTATCCCCAGGGAAAAGCCCGACAATGCGACACACGTCAATTAGCCTGATCGATGTGTCCCCAGGGTATATCCCTACACATTAACCCCGATAAGCCTAATTAGGGACCGTGGCGGGGGGGGGGGGGAGATGGGCTATTGTTAGGGGGCGAAAGGAGTGGCTTGGCGCGCGCGCGGCGCGGGGGGCCGAAGCGGCCCCGTTGAGGTATATAATAACGATCGCTCCACACACACAGACACCGGACACAGAAAAGAGCCTCCTCCCAACACAGCGCCTCAAATCAAGCCCCCCACCCGTATTTTTCGCCCTCCCGTTCGGGGGGCCGGTGCAGGGAAGGCTTCTACACTCTCCTAGGAAGCGTTTGTGTCTAGGGGGTGGGGTGTCTGAGGTATCTCTATCTTCGCAGTCTCTAGTTTTAGGTCTCTGCGCGGAGCGTTGTTCTCTAGGTATAGGAATGATTACTCTAGGATCTCTAATTTCAACGCGGTATCTACGGTTTAGCACCACGCTCTCTACTACAAAATCGTTGTCTCTAGGGGGTGGGGTGTCTGGACGCTCTCTCTTTTCGCAGCCTCTAGTTTTACGTCTCTGCACGGGGCGTTGTTCTCTAGGTATAGAGATCCCTTACTCTAGCCCCTCTATCTCAACGCGGTATCTACGCTTTTCTCTGCGCTCTCTCTCACTTCCCAATCCCTAGTCAGTTTTCTTCGCGAGGCGCTGTCCCTAGCTGTACCCCGCGCCCTCCACTTTCAACCCACTCTCTCCCCCACTGCTGCAAAGGCGCGCCAAATAGAAAGCCACCCTTGTATAGAGCGGGTTTTCGTTGAGGAAGAGAACCTGGCGGTCGCGTCGCGTCCCCTTTTCAAGACAAAGACGCAGCAAACCAAGAAGAACCTCCCCCGGAAAAGGCTTGCCCCTTTTTCCGGGGGAGCCATCTTGCCCCGAAAGGGCACTCCCTCCCAATAGCCACCCACCCCACCAACGTGCCAGTGAAACGCTTGCTCTGGCCGCCTTTTGAGTCCCTCTCTCTTTGAGCCGTGTTGACATTAGCCACCACACAAGCAGACACACACCGGATTCGCGCGCTCTTCCCCCCCTCCCACTGACTCCCCTGTGCAAGCGATAGGGCGCGAAATAGTGGGCAGGGAGTGGGAGAACGGTGGATTAAAAGGATTTGCCAGCCGAAAGGTCGCGCACCTAATAAAAAGGTGGCGAAAGCTTTCGAAGGAGTTTCGGAAAGAAGGTGAGCATGAGGTAAGTTAAGCCAAGTACTTTAGAATCAAGATTTATGTGAAGGGACTGAAATTATTGGCTAAACAAAAAGTTTTGATCGCGATAACCTAATAAAAAAGGTGGCGAAGCTTTCCAAAACTTTGGGTGGGCCTGAGTTAAGTGAAAAAAAGATACTTTACGGTCGAAATTCACGATAATGAAAATGACATCATCGGTTGCTTGATAAAACTTTGCTAGACGATGGATTTTTTACGAAGTGTTGACTGAACAGCTCAAGTTTGTGTTAGAAAACTAATTTTTCGATACCGATCGGCTATAGGTGTGCTACTACGTAAAAACGGCTTCGAAAAACTTCATTAAACGCGTTTAATACGGTTTAAAAATTGGTTTTTTCGGCGAAGTAAGTATTTTGCAAAAGGAAAAGCTATATTTTTAGTTGTTTTTACTCATTTTTGGATAAACACACCCGTAAAAGAATAAAAATATTTTTTTTTCATGAAAATGGAACCTTTAATGAATGATCACGTAATTTTGAGTAATTATAAGCTTTAAATTTCAAAATCCAGACTAGTTTATAGAAAAATAAGGCCAGGTTGACGCCTCTCGCTCTAACAAACAACAATAACAGAACAGGGCCGGCCGGAAAAAAAGAAAGAAAAGGAGGGGGAGGGGGTATTTGACGGCTGGCCGGGACGAGGAATGGCCGTTTTTGTGTCTGGCTGACGAAACAAATGCGGTGGGCCGGAGACGAAGCACGTGCACCATCATTACATACGAAATACTAGCGGAAATTCAATAAAAAAATATTGAATCTTGCGCATAAATCACCAAAAAACTGTAAAAATAAGGTTTACTGGGTAAGAAAGGGCATCTAGTCCGGTTTAGGGTCTAAGACGGCTTCGCTAGGGTTAAGCTTAAAATAAGCCTAGGGAGGACTAGTTCAGGTTATAAGCTAGATAATTATTGATGACGAATGGCTTAGTTTTGCTTAGCGTTCGGCTCAGGTTTAGGTTTAGACTTAGGTTTGCTTAGCGTTAGGTTTAGCTTTGGCTTAAGCTTAACCATGTGCTCCCCGGCTTAGGCTTAGGCTTCGAAGCTGGGCCTTCTCGTGCTTGGACTTGGGCTGAGCTTCAGACATGATTGGCCTCTAATTGGCCTCTAATTTTTAAGCTAAGGCTTAGACTTAGACGTAGACTTCGCATTTTAGCTTTGCCTTAGGCTTACTTAGGCTTAGCATAGGCTTAAACACAACCTTGGAGCCGGAAATGCTCCTGAAAACAAGCGCGAAAAAGGCAGAGAGATTCAGATCCGCCTGGGAGCTGGGAGTCGGAGGTTATTGGTGATCGACATGGAATCTGGAGTGCTGAAGTGCTATGTGCTACCGTGGACCTGTATTTAGCTCCCAGCTCCCAGAGGATACAGCTTGCTTTCAGGGACGAGGCGTCGCATAAAACGACCAATTTCTCCCTTTTCTACGACAGCTGCGAAACACTACGAAACGCTCCAAAACTCAGAGCAGCGCGAAGCACACGCTGGCCGCCACACGTAACGATCCAAGAGGTGTGCGTCGCGTGCTGCGACCGTTGAAAACTTGTCCATGCCCTGCT